TCCATATTGTTAATCCACATTTCTATACATTTGCTAAATACTATTTCGCGGCTAAGATATAAAAAAATTCTTGTAAGTGAAGGATAGAAAAAGATAGATTAAACAAGTGTACCAATTATAATATTCGAGATAATGAGCTGTTTATAACGGTTATTGCATTTCAAAATAATTTTTTTTTTCATAAAAAAAAAACTAGTGCTCGTTCAAAAATTGGCAACTGCTCGCACTCGTTACGAAATATACTATTACAACATAAAGTCCCCATTTCATGAGATTTCCCCATACCTACTTAATTTATTTTATAATTAATTAAAAGAAATGTTTATAAATTTCTCAAAATTTATTGTTTTTATTTAATAATTATTTATTTTTTTATTTAAATTTAAACAGGCAGAAAACAAATTATTTCCAATTGTACAAAGTACTAAATGCATTAACTAGGTATTTTAATAAATTTAATTTGTGCTAAAAATGTCATAGAGAAAAAAAGTCTGCAAATTTTTTATCCTGTTTCTAAAAAATTAAAACATTGTAACGAAAATTGTAATGATAAATAGAAATCAGTAGAATTTCTGTCCTTTCTTTTCATTAAAAGACTAAAGTTTCGTTAAATAACGTTTTTTGACAAATCGAAACAATGCAGAATTTTTATTCTTTTCTTAAGGGAGAGAGACCCAAGATGGACATTTCGTTTAAAATTTTTGTATAAAGTAGCAGCACCTTATGCTTTTTGTTATATTTGTTGTTAGTATAGACGAATTTTTTATGCACATTTGAAGGGAAAACAGCAATTTGTTTTTATTCTGCACACACCTCTTGAAATTTGTGTCTTACAAAGTTTTCTCACAATTTATTCTTAATTCGATAGAGTTATTTAAATTTTTGATTTTCTATAAGTATTTATTGTTAAAATACTACTTATTTATTGTCCAATAATATTCTAAAATGATTTTTTCAAAATTTTGTTTGAATACACATTTTTACTGAGGATTAAAAAATTGTGCCATGGTCCCTAAAAGATGGACACTTTAGAAATCCTAAGGTGAACACCACACTGTACAAATAAATCTTACTTTCAGCCTAATTTGACTAAAACCACATACATTAGTAATATTTTAACTGCATTATAACCTTAAACATGTGATTCTAAGTCCCGAAATTGACTTAATCTAGCTTTAAGCATAAAAGTAAGCTACTTTTCATTTATTCTAATTGTAAGATGTAAACGGTTTCAAGCATTGTTCTCTATTTTCTTATTTACTTTTGTTTTCGATTATGCACATTGTTCAATAGATTATACTACAGTATATTATTATAAAATTTTTCTTTTTATGAAAATGCTGTAAGTAAAGAGTGAGTTACATTATATTGTAATTTTAAATAAGTTAGAGTTAATTATGAGATGAATTTCCTTGTAATATTATTGCAGGCACCACAGTACCTTTTATCTTAAAAAAAAAAGTGAAAAGGGGAATTTTTTTTCGTCAGAAAGGGGACAAAAAATACACTAAACAATAAATTCAAATGTGTTACAATTTATGTTAACAATGTGTTAATATTCAAATTTCTTACAGTTTTGGATTCTTTGTTAAAAAATAATTTTAATATTTAAGAAAATTTTTAAATATTTACGTTATATAAACAATAGAAAAATAAAATACTTATATTTAAGTGTTTTTGATATATCTTTTTTATAAACTCTTCTATTATATCAGAAAGCCAAAAAAACTCGAAACCATTTAAGAAAGTTCATCCAACGAAATGCAGTCTTTAAAAAAAATAATAATCATTTATAACATTTACAAACTTTTGAAATTTTATTATTAATACAATTTTCTGAAAAAACAAATATTAATTTCCAAGAAAAAATATTTAAAACCTGCAAAAAATTATTTGTTTATAGAATTTACACATATAATAATGTGTAAATCATATAAAAATAATTCTAAAAATAATCGTGCATTCTGTTGGATGAAGCACCTTAATATTTATATTTTACTCTTTAAGTTTAGACCAAAATTATTTACAAATATTCAGTATTTTCTTTAAAATCTATAAAAATAACTTCTCTTGCTCTAAATTTTTCAAAGAATTTAAATTACAAATTCGTCGTTTCTATTCATTTGTTTTATGAGTTAACTATATTTTCATATTTATATTATTAAATTAGTTATATCTTGGCCCATTGGATTCTAAATTTAATTAACCTCAAATTGATTCTAGTTTGATAAGTTATACATCAATTTTTATAGAAATATTTGAATTTAAAGTGAAGCAAGCATTTAAAAGCAAACAATCCAAATGTACTGAAACTTTGTGATCCAAGTGTATTATTTATGTCGTAAACAAAATAATTATATATTGTGTTGTGTTAATAATCTAAATCAAAAATTAAAAAATTGAAAAAAGGGGACCAACTGTGATGCCTGTTATTGAATAGAATATAATTTTTAATAAACTGCAATTATGTTCATATAAATTTGATTTGTGTCCTAAAGAAAAGAAACTTTTATTGCTTTTTAATTAAAACTTTAATTGATTTATAAAATCAACAATTTAAGTTTACAGGGTGGCCACTAAAAGTTAGAAAAAAAATTCCAGGCTAATTCCCGGTTTTCCAGGCTAATATATATTTTTTTCCCGGTTAGTTACACAGGCCTGCAAAATTAGTTTCTTATGTTGTTTTGTCTACTAAACACGATCCCGGGTCCTAAAATTGCCCTTCATTTCAGGATATTGAGAAAAGTAAGGGTAAAGAGCCCAAAAAAGTTTTTTTTAGGGTTTACAACATTTTTTTTCTCTTTAATCTGGCGTGCTAGAGATTTCGGCAAGGTTTTAAATTAAAGCTTAAAACGTGAATTTTAAGAATCAATGCAAAACACAAAAAAAGCAAGGATTTTGGAAAAAGTAAGGTTACAGACTCGAAATAAATTTTTTTCGTTATTTTTGATATGGGAATTGTTTCTAATATAGTTTTGTCCACTGAACAAGATCCTGAATCCTAAAATTGCCCATCACGTCAAGATTTTAAGAAAAGTGGGGTAAAGACTCCAAAAACGTGTTTTGAGGGTTTTCAGTATTTTTTTCTCTTTAACCTGACGCGCTAGAAATCTCTACATATAGGGTAAACGCGCCAATTACTGCGATTTCTCCAATTACTGGGATTTTTGGGAAAATACTATTATTTACTATTATAGAATAATATAATATTTGAATAAGTTTGAAAAAATTATTTTCGACCTTAATAAAATTCTTTCGTAAAAAGTAATTGGTGGCCCTGAAGAGGGCCGTTTATTCACAATCATCCATTCTTTTAATGCCATACCCGACTATCAAGTTTTAGGACAATTGGATCGATTTTCAAAAAAGTCGTCCGTCATATTGGGCACATTTTGAAGTTTGAAAATCTAACATTGGATTCGTAATTTTTGTCGTGGGTCTTGTAGTGTAGGATTTAAGCTTTAAGGAAAATCCCTCATAAGAAGTGTGCAAAATGTGTCAAAATTCAAATTTTTTTTTCTCGCTTATTTTATTATAAAAGTTAAAAAAAAACCTTTTTGCATAATGAAAAGTATAATTTAAAGTATTAAAAACAATAAAAAAATTATATTTTTTATATTATGTTAGGCTGTAGAGGGCGTCAAAATCGATGCTTTTATTTTGAGACGTTCCGCGGTTGCAGGTCTAGGGCCATTCCCAGTGGTCTAAAATAAAAACCCAAAAGAACTTTTACAGTTGAGATACTAATCTAGTGGTTATACCTAAAATTACCTTAAAAATCAAAATTTAAAAAAATGACACGACTTTTAACAAAAAAAAATTGAAAAATTACCTTTTTTTCTCCACATTTTTTATTAAAAAAATTATAAAAAAGTATTAAAAAATTTTCTTTTTCAGATTTTTTAGGTATACCCACTAAAGAATATATTTTTTAACAATATGCAAAAAAAATTAGAAAGAAACATTCATCCGTTTACTCAGAATCCCTGCAACCGATTTAAAAACAGCGTTTTGAGAAAAACGCAGTTAAAATTTAAGTACGATTTTTTCAGATTTATTGTTAATTGGTTTTTATAAGAACTTACAAAATTTTAATTTGCTATCCTAGGTCAATAAAGTAAGTTATAAGCTTCCTGATAAGCCTTTTCATGTTCGTCGCGAGCCTTTTTATTGTCAAAAACCATACAAAATTGAGTAATTCAATGCATTTTGAACTGATATTTATAATGATATCTCGCGAACCGAATAAGATTTTTTAACGTTTTTGGTCTTAAATTAAAGATAAGACTTAAAGGATCACATCTATATAAGTTTTAAATTTTGTCTACAATTTTCAAAAAATATGTCAGAGTTTAAAAAATTGTCAAAAAAACTTTAATTTTTTAATTTTCTTTTTCAAATTTATCGATTGTTAAAATCTTTGTGTAATTTCTTAAAATTTCGAATTTTATATTATTTAACATTGAATATTCTAAGCTTTCTAAGGGCAGATTTCTCAAGTTTCTTACATTATTTTTTTCAGGAATATCATGATTTAAAGATTGGTATGTTTTTGGGCCATGCGCGTGGAGCCACTCTGACGGTAGTGTGATTTACTATGACTTTTGATAGGAGCTAAATTTCGTCATAAAATTTAAAACCTTTATTCTAGAGATATTAAGGATTTTAAAAAAGCAAGAAAAAAAATTCGAAGAAAAATTTTTTTCTCATGAGTAATCCCCCTTAATTTAAGACTATGTAGAAGTTTCTAGCACGTCAGGTTTAATGAAAAAAAATACTGAAAACCTTCAAAAACACGTTTTTTAGTGTCTTTATATAATAGATTTAGCGATTTTGTCTGTAAATGTCATAATTCCCGGTTTTTATTAAAAATCCCGGCTTTTTCCAGGCTTTTTCCCGGTCAGTGGCCACCCTGCAGTTATTAAAAAATTATTTACTATTTTATTAGCAAATAATGTATTAAAATTAGAGGTAAACTAAAAAAAAAGATGTAAACTTACCAGCTCTCACATTAACATCGCGACTGTGTACTGATCCAACGGAAGATTTCGCTAGACAGATGTAAATTTGTGCATGAACTTCCTGACGATAATCTTCAGCACGGAATGGTGGAAATACTAAATTTCCATTTGGCAACACCTAAATTATAGACGCATTTATTAATACTCAGTAATATTTTCTAACAAAAAATTAACGCCAAAATAAAATTGTAAGTTTTCTTTAAATTTTCAGGGTTGCCACAAGAAATTAATTTTGTTTGTCCCTGATTTCCAGACAAAATTTCTAATTTTTCCCTGACCCTAAGGAATATTCTGATTCACTCTAAAAATTATTAGATAATCGAAAAAACTGTTCAATTACATTTATTTACGAATTTCTTTAATTGTCAAATTATTCAAAAACGCCAAAAACTTCATTTTTAAATAAATATTTAATCATTATTATTATTCCATGTGAATTAATGTTTTCAAAATTTTATGTTCAAACCTTTTGAAATTAAATAAGTTTTAATATTTAATTTAACATTCCATAAAAATTTTCAAAAAAAATTTAATTATTTCTAAAAATTTTAATAAAATCCTTTTCAAGAATTCAATTATTTTTATAAGTAATACAATTTTTTACATGAATTTAATTATTTAAAAAAATGTAATAAAATTCGTTGTAAGAATTCAATTATTTTCATAAATAATAAAATTTTTCATAGAATTTCAATTATTTTTTTCGTTGTAAGAATTCAATTATTTTCATAAATAATAAAATTTTTCATAGAATTTCAATTATTTTTAATAAATTGCTAGAAAAATGTAATTATTTTCAAACATTTTGTACAAAAATTCAATTACATTTCACAAATAATGAAATTCTTCGCTGAAATTCAAATTTTTTCAAAATCTACTATTTTAATAAAATTTCTCAAAAGAATTCAATTATTAAAAAAAATGTAATAAAATTCGTTGCAAGAATTTAATTATTCTCCTAAATAATAAAATTTTGCACGGGGTTTCAATTATTTGTAATACAATTTTAAGTAAATTTATCAAAAAATGTAATTATTTTGGATAATATTATTAAAATTCTTCAAATGAATTCAATTATTAATTATTTATTACTTCCTCATAGAGGAAGTATTGTAATACCAAAATTTTTCGAGTTCGATTTTTTGACATATCTTTATGTTATTTGACCTCAGTAGTTCAAAAATGACATTTTTAAAAAATGTCATTCCGTATGTGTGTGTGTGTGTGTGTGTGTGTGTAAACATCACATTTTCATAAATATCTCGAAATCTTGAAGAGCTTTTGGGATGAATTTTTTTTTAAATTGTAGATCTCACCTGCGGACATAAAGTGAGAGTACTTTGTGATATATTAATAAAGTTAAACTAAATTTTTTTTTTATTTTTAATTTTGCAAAAAAACGTTTTTTGCCCATAACTTTAAAAAAATGTTAGAACACCTATAAATGTTTTTCCATAATTTTCTAGAGTTTTTTTAAACGCAACCTTTGAGCCCTAATTGAACATTTTTCGTCCATATTAACCGGAGTTATTAAACTTTTAAAAATCAAAAATTTTGGAAAATAAGACTTTTTTGAAAATGTTGTTAAAAATTTAGAAGTAACTTTAAAATTATCGTCACCAACTTGTAGAGCATTAAAAAACGCTTCGATTGACCTACTTTTGAACCTAATTCGATAATAAGTTTCGAAATTATTGGTATTTTAAAAACAAAAAATTGTGAAAAATGACATCTTCTCAACTTTTTTGTTTGAAATTTTTTTTTAACTTTTAAATTATTGTAACTATCTTGTAGGGTATTTAAAAATACATTGATTGACTCAAAATTCAATCACTTTTACCATATTTATAAAAAGTTATTCATATATTTCTATTGTTTTTATCTCCATGAGGAAGTAAAGTGTTCATGAAATGAGCACCAAAATTATAAAAAAAACATACATCTTGGCAGCGGTTTTTTTAATACTTTTTGCAAAAGTTCCTTGAAAATTTTCAAATCCATTCGTTTACAATTCAATTTTATAAAATTTCGAATATTCAAAAATTCTTCAATTAAATACTTAGAAGATAAAAACTTGGAATAATTTTATAAAAAATTCAATTAAATTTTTAAAAAAATAATAAGTCTACAGATATATTTTTAAAGTTTTTAATTCAAAACCTTTTCAAAATTCATACTATAATGTTTTTAATACTCAATTATTATCTAAAATTTTATCTGAAATTCAATTTTAAATCAATTTTTATTAGAAAATTCTACGAGAATTCAATTATTTAACTACAAAAATTAATAATTTATTAAATAAATGAATGTTTTTCAAAATTAATTTCTCATAAAGAATTTTATAGATAAATTTTTAAAGAATTGAATTTTTTCTACGAATTTCAATAAAATTTTCCTAAATAATTACATTTTTCGAGGAATTCGATTAAAATTATACTAAGAATAATTGAAATTCTCTGATGAGTTTTATTATTTATGAAAATAATTGAATCTCAGTAAAAAAATTTATTATTTATGCAAATAATCGAATTATTGAGAAGAAATTTATAAAAAAAATGTGTAAATACATAGTTGAATTTCTGTGGAATTTTTATTATTTATGGAAATAATTTAATGTTTGCTTAGAATTTTATCAACACTTTTTTAAATAATTGAATTTTTTTGAAAAATTTTATTAAAATAGTAGATATTGAAAATCATTGATTAGAGGAAGAAAGTTTGAAAATAATTGAAATTTTGTTAAAAATTTTATTAAAACTTTTGAAAATCATTGAATTTTGGAGTGAATTTTATTATTTGTAAAGATAATTGTAATTTTGACGAGAATTTTTTTTAATTTTTGAACATAATTGAATTTCTGCAATAATTTGCAACTTTTCCGAAATTCAATTTTTTCCAGTACTTTAATAAACATCTAACTTTTCCCTGACCAATTCTACTTTCCCTGATTTTTCTCTGATTTCCCTGACCTGTGTCAACCCTGATTTTACACCTTTCGTTATTTAAATTAAGTTTATTTAAAAATGAGATGATAATTTATTATCAATAATAAAAACAATAATATTTTTCATAAAATACAGTACCAATATTTCTATTTACTGTACAGCAATGATTAACATAAATTTAAATGAAAGAAGCAAAGAAAACTATAAAAAATAAAATATTTTGATAGAATTAAAAATTCATTACTTAAATTGAATAAATAAATTAATAAACTTCAAAAGAGATTGAATGAATAGTATACGGAATTCTAATATCTTGACTGTTAAAATTATTTACAAATATTTCATTTATACTTTTATTCATAGCTATTAGTTGAAAATGGAATAAAAGAAACATTTAATTTGAAATGTTTTAAAAATAAATTCATACTTGTCGCAAGCCGGGAACGTCTCCGACGGCAGTTCCATCAGCTCTAACCCATATAATATCAGGTTGAGGGTTTCCTCTTGCTTGACACTCAATAACAGCTCCAGTACCATTTGAAAAATCTACTCTATTTGGTGGTTCTTTAAGGAACACTGGTCCCATTGTATCATCCTCAGCGTTTATACCTAAAATTACATTTTTTAGTTACTCTTACAATTTATTCAGTTGCATTTTGTCTATCCTAAAATGTAGAAATGTTTTTTTCTGTAAAAAATCGTATCAGTCAGTTTTTGGGAAAACGCATTTAAAGTTTTATTTACAGCGTTCACATCCTTTTAAATATCAAATTAGAAGTTTTAAAACGAAGAAGAATTTTAACTTTCGTTTAATTTAAATTGAAAAAAGTATTTAAGGTATTTTACTTACCAGAAATAATATTTAAGAAAGAAAGTAGCAGAATAACACTTAAGGAAGGTGCATAACACCTTCCAAGTGAGTCTCGCCACATACTGAACGCCTTCGTCTCTAGCTTCAGCACACTTTTCAACCTAATAAAAATTTAAAAAATTAGATTCGAAAATGTACATAGACACACTAGAAGAATAAAATTAGCTTGTGTAATATCTTTTACCAAATCGGAATAAAAAAAATAATAAAAAATTGTCATAATGAAATTCATATTAAAAATTCTAATTTCTATGACCGATTTCAAAATACAAATTAATAACTTTTTCCGAAGTTTATAACGCACACAGTTAACAAAAATCAAAATTATTGATAAATATAATTTATCAATAAAAATTTATAATTTTATCAGAACTTTACAAATAAGTATTATTTTTAATCTTATAAAATAACTTTTACTAAAAACGTAAACCAAAAGTAACTTAATAAAAGAATTTGTTAGTTACAACACATTAATGAGAAAAACAAAAAATTGAAATAGATCCTCTTTCAACTAAATTACGAGTTTGCTCCAAATGATTTAATATACGTTATGGTGAATCATGCGACTTTGTAAAAAGTCTAACTAATTTTTAAAAAGTAAAAATTACGTTTAATTAAAATACAAAATTTGTTTTAAAAGAACCAGAATTAAATTGAAAAAAGTTTCCAAACATAATTGATTTTTCCAAAAAAATAAAATACTAGTAAAAAGCATTCATTTCATTGACATGATAAATAATAGATGTTAAAAGTACACCTTTCAATTTAATTTTTATCACACACCATTTATTATAATTCAAACATAACAAGATAATAAGCTTTTAATCTTTATAACCCTTTGTTTTTATTGAATTTTAAATGTGCAAAATGAAACATCTGACGTTTTACATACAATGGTAAACAAAGTTCACTCGTTCCTTGTATCGAATGGAATTTATTTATTTAAAAATAAAACAAGAATTGACTTTAAAAATTATTAACGTTACTTGTAAATTAAACAAATTTTGCATTTGTCAACACTCTTAACCAATTCACTTCTGATGACAATAGCAGTAAATATTGATTTTAATGAAAACCTTATAGCCGGCATGATTTGCACACCACTCGATAAACTGTTTACAATTTTTCAAACTCTATAAAGCCATTTAAATTACTAGAAAAGCCCCTTTTTATGAGTAAACTAAATTATGGTTCATGAAATTCTATTCATAATAAGCGGAAATGAACAATACAAGAGTAATTTAAGATGCTGTGTTGAAAGATTATCATACATTACATTCTCTCAATTTAGTGTAATAACTTATTACTTACTCAACAAGTAATTATTCACTATAAGTATAAAAATGAAATTTTTTAACTAACACGGTTCTATTCACGGGAGAAATAGCAGATGATAATAAAATTCACAATAAATATGAGATTTCAACTTCACTTTAAATACCCTTAAAGGACGCTCACTTCACTAAGGGAAACACATGGGCAGAATGTCCAACATAACAACACGAAAATATTGTCAAACAGAGTGAAATGTGCAGAAACTCAGGGTGCGGTCACACGACTTTTGGAAAAATCATTCTTGTCTTTCTCTCTCCTATGACAGAGGCATAAGTTTGTCTTTATGGTACTGTCGCAGCTCTGCAGGCATAGCTCATGCATGCAGGTTGCCATAGTAACACATGCAAGAGTGAGAGAGATTGAGTGAGTGAGGCAATTGTTACGCTCTATTAAGGTGCTTCTATACCTTCGGTTTTGGTCAAGAAATGCCACTCGACGAATTCAGTCAAATTGGAGACGCATGATTTTCCCCTACACGCCAAAGTTACAAGACTTAGGGAGCATTTACACCTTCGGTAAAAATTTCCAGAACGGAGAATTTTGCATTGGAGTAAGAGAGACAGACTGTGTATCTGACTCTCTTACTCCAATGCAAATTTTCCTTTCTGGGCAATTTTTACAGAAGGTGTGAACGGTCCATTAAGGTTAATAATTTGTCAAAATAATATAATTTTTACTGTTCATGAAAGTTTATTATTAAACAAAATAAATAAATGACTAAATACAAACAATAAAAACAAATTATTTGTATTTAGTAATGAATTAAGAATTTAAGATCTCGAGAATTTAATACGGAAGCTTCTACGCGCCACCCTGCGGCACTCACTCGCTTTACGGGGCACAAGGCAAATGTCGTTTGAAGCACCCTGCTAGTGAATGCCTTGTACGATGCCTCGGTGTGTGCCTCGTAGGGTGCCTCGATGCGTGCTTTGTGCGACCAGTGTTTTGAAATTTTAAACGGCTTTAAATGTAAATCAGAATTCTCAAAAAAAAAAAATTTGACTAGTTCAGGTTAACCCTCTGCTGATGCTAACTTAAGGCGCTCGCACAGCTCTACTGCCTGCCTGCCTGCCTGCAGGTCGTCATGGTAACACATAAGAGTAAGAGAGTCAGAAAATTCAAATTAAATGTTTTTTCTCCCTTACTCTCATTGCGCCTGCCTGTGCAGGCAGGCAGGCAGTAGAGGTGAGAGAGCGCCTTTATCCCCACTCTATCGCCAAAGAACGTAACTCCCATAGTAGTAGTTCTGGACGCCACCAGGCGTCCAGAATGACGATTTTTGACGATAACGGTCGTTAGCATCAGCAGAGCGTTAAATTAATAGCTAATTGCTGTTAATATTTATAAATTAAAAAGTGTAAATTTTAGAATAATTGAAGGGTGGCATGACAAAAGGGAGTCAGCAACAATTTTTCCAAATTGAGATATTTTTAGAAAAAAATCAGGTAAATTCTTTTACACAGTTCTGTAAGAGGATTTTCTTGTAAATTGTTTTTTAAACTCGTTTTTAATAAAAATAAGAATAAGACAATAGCCTACATATTTTTACTTACAATGCAATTCAGTTAAAAAACAAAAGAAATGAACATTATTATGAATAGGTTAATATCGTTAAAAATACTTATTTCTTTTTTATATCATTAAATATATATTAAATTTCTCTGAAAAACTGTATGTCTATTTAGAAATAATTTTTATTCTTCATCTAATTTTCAATAATTTAAATATTATTCTTCTGTTAATTTTTAAATATTCCTGTTTGTAGTTTACATTTGATAATTTCTATACTTTTTACTTTCAAAAATTAACATTAAATTAACAATTTTCTTGAAAACAAACAACTTTTTCAAAGCAAACTTTTTTGCATTCAATTCGTCATTTGAATATTAAAAAACTAATTTTTTAGTTTTTCTTTAAACTGTCTATTTTTTAACAATTATAATTTTATAACAAAATATGCGCATTTGACGTGACCACAAAATAGTACACTTTTACTTATTTTTCTCACTAATATGTAGGTTGTAGGTTTATCTTCATAAATTGTATTTCTACTGATTGAGCGAAATAGTATTTCCAAACGGTTTTTTTAGATTTTTCTTTAATGATCAGAAAAAATTTTTAATGTGTTATTTTCGTTTCCTGTAAAATCGTTAAATTGTTGCTTGACCATTTTTGTCATGCCACCCTTCAACTACAAATTTTGTTGAATCTTGTTTTAGATTGTAGTGAGGGTGTTGAAATGTTTCTTTTACTTGAGTATAAAATGTCAAGGTTATGTTTTCACCATTTTCACCTACCAAAAAAGTTATTTATGACAAGCTGCAAGTACGATTCAATATATTTTTATATATGAGGATTGAATTTAATAATTATTCAAGATGTACATATTTGCTTAAAATTTTTAAGGCAACTAGAGGTTATATAACCTATCTCTCAAGTTAAAATACATTGCAACACCCTCACTACAATTCAAAACAAGATTCAACAAAATTTGTAATTATTCTAAAATTTACACTTTTTAATTTAAAAATATTAACAGCAATTAGCTATTTATTTAACCTGAACTAGTCAAATTTTTTTTTTGAGAATTCACGCATCGAGGCACCCTACGAGGCACACACCGAGGCATCGTACAAGGCATTCACTAGCAGGGTGCTTCAAACGACATTTGCCTTGTGCCTCGTAAAGCGAGTGAGTGCCGCAGGGTGGCGCGTAGAAGCTTCCGTAATTTAATGGCACGGTCACACCTCGGCTGCCTGCCTGCCTGCGCAGGCAGCCGCCACGAGACTAAGAGAGAGGAGACGAATAATTTAAATTGTCTGACTCTCTTACTCTTATGTATTGCCATGACGACCTGCAGGCAGGCAGGCAGGCAGCCGAGCTGTGACCGTACCATAAGAACTCTACATGCTGCAAGAGAAAAGGAAAAAGGACAAAAGACAGAAGTTGTTGTTTGTGTCCTGTTCTTTCTCGTGCCCTGTTCCCGTATCCGTGTTCATTTCTACATACATATCTATTGACAGTCACTTGTTTATTTGGTCAATATATTTGTTTTACATCTCCGACTTACATTGGTAAAAGTGAATATATAAATATGCAGAAAAATTTCTAATTAAAGTAAAATAAAATACAATTTAAAATTAGGATAATATATTACACGTAACAAGGTCAGTAAAAATTTTCTCAATATAATTGAATTAAATTATTTTCTTCTCTTATTTGTTAATTCTTTGTACTTGGAATATGGATTTATTTTATACTTATTATGTTTGATATTTAATGGATATTTATATTTAGATATGTTTCTTTCAATGAATGTTTTTTTCTTATAATTATGTATATATTAAATTAAAACATAAATTATAATGGATTATATAAATTAATGTAAAATGGCATTTTTTGTTTTTCTCTGTTAGTTTGTTTGTTTTTTACGCGACATCTTTATCATATAATCAGTAATTTTGCATTATATTGTATTCTTTTTGAATTTTTATCTATAATTACTGCTTTATTTATTTATATTAATTTAGGCAATAAAATAGTGTCCGCAGTTCAGAAAAGTTCGAGAAGTTAGAAAAATTTAACCAAAGTAGTAAAAAAATAAAAAAAAAACCATTAAAATCCATTTCCATACCTCAGTGTAAAACTGTTCTATTATCTACGTGTCGATCTGTAAACCGTGCTATTTCATTGTTAGGTTACTCGACTTGATTGGTTTGTTATGAATACAATGTCTATTTATTTTCCAATTCTGTCCAATTTGTGTATGTTTTTTTTCACCTTAAAAACATTTTTAAAAAACCATAGAGTTACAGTTTCCAAATTTTTATAAAAAAATTTAATTTTTCTATTTAAACAATTTAATTCTCGAATAACTTTCTGAAAATTATTAAAAACCATTGATTCACACAAAAATTTTAATTAGACATTCTAGAAATTAAATTTTAGAAAATTTCAAATATTTAAAAATATTTTTATTACAGATATATTTGAAAAATTTAAATATATCTTAAAAAAGTGATTCAAAAATAATTTTTGAAAGATTTACTTATAGTTATTTTCCGCACTTTAAAAATCGATATTTTGGCTTTGGCTTTAGTTGGAATTATTTTTGAATGAAATTTCTGTCAATTTTTATGTGTTGAAATGATACTGTTACAGTCCTTTATTTTATTGAATTCTTATTTTACATTAAAAAAATATTAATTATTAACATATAAAAATGTTTGTTTTAATCATAGATAAGGAGAAAAGATCAGCTTCTTTAAACTGTATTTCAACAAGGATACGGACTGGTTGACTAAGTGAACTTGAAAATACATTAATGATAAAAATATGGTATGTTAAAAAATTGCTAATTACGTAGAATAATTCAAAAATTTAATTTGAATATTTTTTTAGGCTCAAGAAGTTGAAGAAACAATGAAACGCATTCAGTCCCATAAGGGAGTTGTTGGGACAATAGTTGTTAACGCCGAGGGTAAAGTTAATTTTTTAAATTTTAGTTTCATCTTTTCATAAATAATATCGATGCCTTCTGTCGAGAAAATGTTATATTTCAAACGTCAGTTTGAAGTTAGCTCACAAGTAAATGCAATTTGAAGTTAAAATTTTCTATTTTTACTCTTTTACAAACAAGAATATTTATTGGATAAGTCAAAAGATTTATATTAGATTGACGTTTGAAATAACATTTTCTCCATTGGAGCAATCGATATTTTTCTATTTTTACGTATAAAAAATAAGTACAATGAGAAGAGTTTAATACAAATACTATTGTATTAATTGAAATTTTCACTTCAACTAGTTTTGAAATGAAAAGTTCTGAATATTTTTGAATGAAATTTACAGGAGTTATAGTTGAAACTATTTTTGAAACAATATATTTTGAATAATACTTAATTTTTACATTGCAAAAAAATTATTAATTGTTGAAGTGAAAATTTCAATTAAAGTTAATTTTCGGAAAATATCGGTTTTTGGCTTTTTTTCAAAAACTGTAAATATAAAAAAAATCATGAGAAGAAAAAAGATGCGCAAAGAAATTTCCTATAAGATAGTGATCTAAAAAACTTTATTTAACCTTTTGAGGACCAAAAAATAGTAAAAATAGTATTTATTTTTATTAACTCGTGCATAAATTTCTTAATTTTCAAAACTGAATATTGAAACAATAATTTTCACATAGTCTGGAAAATTTCGTATGACAGACACTGGTCTTCAAGTAAAAAACTTCAATAACTTTCCCTGAAAAGTTTGCTTAAAAATCAAAAATCGCGATTTTTTAAGAAAAAATTTGGTCCTCAAAGGGTTAAAAAAATTATTTTTCGAGATGTCATGAGCCAACAAATACTGCTGTAGAAATTTTATGTGTTGTTTTGAGATCCAGCCCCTCATATGAGGTTAAATACAAATTTCTTTATGAATTCAATGATATTAAAAACAATTTATGTACAGTAAATACTGAATTCTAAAAGTTTTTACCTCAGAGAGTTGCAAAATTCAAAGAAATTCTAAAATTCTAAAATATTGAAACGGAATGCTCTAGTTACTCTTATGTCTAAGAATTTAAAATCACCTCCTGGCTTATGCGAACCCAGAGTACCCTCTGAGGGTTAAAAGTTTTCAATTATTTATAACTGACCGCTTGCTAATGTTTATTTTAAACTAAAATTACTAATGTTTCAATTAAAAAGTAATAATAATAATGAAAATACATGCGACCCCTTTGTTAAAATCCATTTAACTGTATTTTGCAGGCATTCCTATAAAGACAACTTTAGATAATACAACAACAGTGCAATATGCTGGATTAATAAGCCAGCTTTCTGATAAGGCTCGTTCAGTTGTTCGTGATTTGGATCCTACGAATGATTTAACTTTTCTGCGTATACGTAGTAAGAAACATGAAGTAATGGTTGCTCCTGATAAAGAATTTATACTGATTGTGATACAAAATCCTGTTGATTAAATTAAAAAGTAGTTAATAAAATTTTTTCAATGACACAATAAAAGAGTTAGTGAACATTATTTGCATTGAAACAACTTTTATAACTTTTTTTTACCTCCTTTTTAGGGTTCCGTACACCTACGGTGTATCGGCGGAACCCTATTGGTGAGACTCTGTTGTCCGTAGCCAAATCGTGTCCCCCCCCCTAGCGGCTAAACTATTTGACCTAGAGAGCTCAAATTTGGTACATATATGTATTTTCACACGTAGATTACAGGAAAAATATAGAGAATGTGTTTGGAGATGATGGTCATAGCGTTGTCAAGGAAATAACAAGATTTTTGGCCAAAAATGCATAAAAAGTGACCATTCCCCCCCCCCTTAACTTTTAAACTATTTGACATGGAGAGCTGAAATTTTGCATGCTGGTGTATTTTTACTCGAATATTACAGGAAAAATATAGAGAACTTGCTATGTATTAATGTCCATAGCGTTGTCAAGGAAAAACTAAAAAAAATTTAGAAATTTTTTTTTTTTTTTTTAATTTCTACATTATTTGATCTAATTAACTAAAAATGGGTTTATTAGTCTATTTTTACAGTCTGATCACAAAAAATATATTTAAAAATCTAAAAAAAAAAAATTAAAAAAAATTTTTTTTTTTAGATTTTTTAACAAAAAAATTTTTTTTTACATTTTTTAAAAATTTTTTACAAAACTTTAAAAATAAAACAATAAAAACAGCAACAAATTTTGTTCCTCTACTTATTATTGTTTACAATATTAGATATATACAATACTTTAATTTTTTTATTTATTTTTTTTATCAAATGATATTAATATATTTTTTTAATTGTTTATTTTAATTGTACCAATTACCGATAAATGTTGCAAGTATTGTTTTAATATTTGTGTACGGAACCCGCCATTGCAGTGCGAGTTCAACTCGCACTTGTCCAATTTTTTTCAATTTTGTCATCTTTTTCCCTTTTTTGGTGATTTGTCCCCTTTTTAACCTTTTTCTACTAAAAAATAAGGAAATTTTTTTTTAAATATATTTCAAAGTGTAATCATAGAATTTAGACTCAATGTTAGAATTCAGTGTGTTTTATTTTTGATTTAGATTATTAGAAGAAGGTAGGGGAATTGAAGCCCCTTAAAGAAAATTATTTTAAAAAGCATCTTATCCTTATAATAATATATTGTTTTGATAATTTTCTACTCTTTTTATTATTTATCTTTTAAGGGTTCATACCACTTTGTCATCTTCAAAAAAGCAAAAATTTTTTTATTATGGATTTCGAAAGTAAAATATGTCAAAAATGTGGTGTAAAATTTTTAGAAAGATCCCAGCACTCAAAATATATTTTTTTCAATGCTATTTGAGCGCGTACACGGCTATGTAAGTATACAACACAAACTTTAAATGCGTTTTTCTCAAAACCAGATTTTTCATGCTGCGGGATGTTTTTCTCGGAAACTACTGAACCGATTCTCAAAATTTTTTTACGAAAATCTTTGTCACATGGGTGGGTATCGCCGGAACTAGAATTATTTAAAAATATTCATTTTTACTATTTTTTTAAATTGAAAAACTGCCAAAAAAAACCTATGGGGTATTGGGAGACAGATTAACATTTTATAATTTTTGAAGGCTTATTTTAAAGGTGAAATTCCAATGAAGAATTCTGTGTTTTTAAAAAAATGTTATCTACATTTTTCTATATTTTTGAAAAAGTTGAAGTCAAGAGACAAAAATGAGAAAATTTGATAATTTTTTTTATTTCTTTCTCACTCTACAACTGAAAAAAGAGTTAACGAAATGACTTCAAAGATGACTTATTTTACGCAGAATTCAATAAGCTTTCTAACCGTATTTAGGTTTTTTTTGTATCTCCTTTTATTTCCGAGATATGATTAAAAAAGTGATGGCATGTTTTTTTGTAGAGTCGCGTGTAATCGTCCTGATACTCGTGGACAGTAGTGTATGTAATTTATAGTTCACTATAAAATTTTGTTTCATTTGTGATGTATTATGATATAACGACATTTTGCCTAAAGTTCATTTCGTCATTATTATATATATACGACATCTTTACGTGCTTGCAAGTTAAAAAAATATTAAAAATCAGTGAGAGAAGCAGGCGCAATGTGCCTACATCTTAGGGTTTCGTGGCCTAAAAGGACAAAAAGAATAAATAAATAATAAAACCAATCTTAAATCCCACGAACACTTTCAAAAATTTTTGTATAAAATTTTAACAAATTAATAATTTATTTTGCGCAATATACATTATTAAAATTATACGTACTGGCTATTTGTTATTACAAGAAGCCATTAAAACAAAACAAACAAACAAAATTATTAAAATTACCACACATTGGTATGGAATGCATTACCATACCAACTGTTGTTATATAGTAACCATTACCATAGCAACAGTTAATATGGTAACGGTTGCCATTGCAACAGTTGCTAGGGAAAACTGCGGACAGACATCGGAGTATTTAGTATAAGGGTTTCGGCCCTTGGCCACGAAACCCTAAAAAGATTACAATCTTTTCATATTTTACGAAATAAACAAATAACTTTTAGCCAATCTTATGGCAAAAAGGTTTTATTGTAAAGTCTGAAGGCGCTAGCACAGCTCCTACTGCCTGCCTGCCTGCAGGTTGTCCCATGGCAGCGTTTTGCGTTGCGTTTTGTAACTAGGCCGTGAGTGCAAATATAGCAAACATATATCTCCATCTCTCTCACACTCATTGCCTAGTTACAAAACGCAACGCAAAACGCTGCCATGGGACTCCAAAGTTTAGGGTGGAGTCCCATGACAGCGTTTTGCGTTGCGTCGTAATGGGAGAGAAAAAAACGCAAATATACGTTTGCTGCATTCTCTCTTATTACAACGCAACGCAAAACGCTGCCATGGGACTGCGGCCTTATTCATATTACAATTTGGCTGTTTTCCTATATATCCTATCGGAAAAGCGGCGTGTGCACTGATTTCCATCATTGTAGAAACACTATAAAGTGACTACATGCATCCTATCTCTCTTTGCTTTATGGTTAAGAACTATCCCATCCCTTCTTGCTCGGCGAAAGATTTGCCGACACGTGCACACACGTTTCGTTTTTGTATACACATGAATGTCACAATGAAAAAATTTCATAATATGTTTAAACTATTTGATTCTTTGATCAAATAACGAGTGTCATGATTTTGAACTTCCAAAATTGTTGTGCTCTGTGTACGAAGAGTAATATGACAATACTAAACCGTGTTTGAGTCTTTATTTAATAATTCCTTTTATTTATTTTTAAATCTCTGTTTTAGAAATATTTCAATAAAATCTCCCAGTTTAAGAACTTTTAATATGGAGAAAATCAAGGAAATGTTGGCAATGAATTTCCCTCTGTTTATCAATATATTGATGTCAATTGTTGCATATTTTGCAACAAGTAGATTGATTCCCAGCATGGAAAACATGTTTATAAAAGCAAATCTTTACGGTGTCGATATGAACAAAAAGTCTACTAAAAAAGTGTAAGTGTTCATAGTCAATTTTTATTTTTAAACTTTTCAAAAAACTTAAGTGTAATTCATTTTTTTATTTACTTTAATTGTTATTTTTTTAATTTTTCTTTTTATTCTTCTGTGATTACATTTCTTTTCCGATCAGACGAACATTTGATATAGTTTAAACTTTATCATACTTCGCACTTCTAAAAATTAGGGGAGATTTTGAAATCGTGAGCCACCTTATTATTTAATAATATTGGATTTATAAGTATAAAGTAAATTTTTCATGAGCACTGAAAAATTGCATTCAATCATTTTGGGCGTTAATGTTTTTATTATTTTCACAAGGATTTTCAAAAATTAAAATTAAAGAAAATATTTTTTTAATTATTGTGTGACGTTGGTACTTTGACTTTAAAAAGAAATTTGCAGTAATGAATAAATAAAATGAAGCATTTAGGGAATTTTTAGTAACAGTATGTGTTGCCTGTTTTTGGCGATTTAATTGCACAATTATATTAATGTAGGTTCTTATTCGTTCGATGGAGCTGTTCACTTAAAATGCAGGGCTCGAACCAGTTCAAGTATTTAAAAATACGGACTTTACGGGCCAAAAATTAAAAATTACAGACCAATTGCTGACAAAAATATAACCAGTTCGAGTCAAATAAGAGAACATTTTATTTAAAACTATAAATTACATTTTTTCATAACTGTAAAAACATAAAGATATCGATAACTCCCAGTCTTCGATTCGGAGTGATTGATTTCTTCATGTTTTATAATAATTAAAGAAGACTGAGTGTTAAAATCATTATCAATTCAATTATTATTTTCATTAAAAAAATTCAATTAAACTTTTCCAGAAAAATTAATTTCAAAATTCAATTATTTCTAAAAATTCACGCTATATTGGTTTTAATATTCAATTATTATCTAAAATTGTAACTAAAATTCATTTTTAAATCAATTTTTATTAGAAAATTCTACTAGAATTCCATTATTAAAATACAAAAATAAATAATTTATTGAATAATTGAATTCTTTCGACGAATTTTAATAAAATTTTTAAGAATAATTACACTTTTCGAGATTTTTGTTTAAAATTGTATTGAAAATAATTGAAATTCTGCGATGAGTTTTATTATTTGTGAAAATAATTGAATCTCTAAGAAGAATTTTATTATTCTTGAACAATATTTACTTTGTGCAAAGAATATTATTACTCTTGAAAATAATTGAATTTCTGCAATAATTTGTAACTTTTACAAAATTAAATTTTTTTTTCGTGTTTTTAACTAAAATTCTTCTGTAAATGCATTATTTTTAAAAATTTTCGAAAAAGTTCTTTAAGAATTTTCAAATTCATTTGTTTACAATTCAGTTTTACAAAATTTCAATTATTAGTAAATTCTTCAAAATTAAATATATATTAGAAAATAAAAACTTAAAATAATTTTAAAAAAATCCGCAATTAAACTTTCTCAAAAAAATTAATTCCACAGAATTGTTAGTTAAAAATATGAAAAATTCAGATTTTCAAAGATTTTAATTTGAAACCTTTTTAAAATTCAATTATTTCTAAAAATTCACGATACAATGCTTTTAATATTCAATTATTATCTCAAATTTTAACTAAAATTTAGTTTTTCAATGAAATTTTCTTAGAAAATTCTACGAGAATTAAATTATAAAAGAAACAAAATTAATAAATAATGTATTGAATAATTGAATGTTTCTTAAAATTGAATTCTCATAAAGAATTTTATTAATAAATTTTTAAATAATTGAATTCTTTTGATGAATTTTAATAAATTTTTTAAGAATAATTACATTTTTCGAGGAATTTGATTACAATTGTAGGTATTAAAAATAATTGAAATTCTGCAATGAACTTTATTATTTATGAAAATAATTGAATTCCTAAAAAGAATTGTATTATTTACGAAAATAATTGAATCCCTGTGAAATTTTTATTATTTTATGAAAATAATTAAAGGTTTGCGTAGAATTTTTTTTTTTTTTAAATAATTGAATTCTTTTGGAAAATTTTATTAAAATAAGTAGATATTGAAAATCATTGAATTGAGGAAAATTTTTGAAATTAAAATTTTACCAAGAATTTTATTTATCAAAATTTTTGAATTTAATTGAATTTCGGAGATGAATTTAATTATTTCTAAAGATAATTAAATACTTTTGTTAAGTACAATGTACGAAAGGGCTTTAAGCCTGTTAAAAATTGAATAAATAAATAACCTTTTTTTAAAAAAAAAAAGACTTTTACGGATCTTTACTGGATTTATGGACCTAGTTCGAGCCCTGAAAATGTGTAATTAATGGAGCCTATTTTACTTGTCCAAATTGTGATTCCGATTAATTTCATTTTCTGAAAAATTAATGCATTTGGAAGCGATTCTTTGGGTGGTATTTTTATGATTGTTGATTTGTGTTAAGGAAATTAAATTTTGTTTTATTTTATAAGAAAATAAGAACTGTTAATAGGCGTTATTGTTAATTATCGAGTGGCACTAGAAGTAAAATCTACACGCGCGCGTTATTTTAGTTAGTTTCTAAAGAAACTGGAGGTTTTATTAAAAAAATTGTGATGGTGAAATATAAATGATCCAAACTTATTCTGTTTTGAAAAAAAGACTTTTGTATAAAAATTGTGATATAAAATGTAAATTATGCAATTTTTTTTCATTACCTAATTAAAAAAGTAATCATTTCTTTAAAAATTGCGATTAAAAAATGGAAATGTTTTAAAAAAACTTTTCAGGCCAGAAGCTCTAGGTGTTGTTAGCGGTTGTGCCTTTCTCGTAACTATGTTTCTATTCATACCGATTCCGTTCTCCGATTATATCTTAAAAAATGCAGATTTCCAGTACAGCGAGGTTTGTGTAATTGTTTAAAGATAAAATTATAAGATCGCTGCAGTCTTACCGATAAATAACTGCATCTTAATTTTCTCTTTTCAGTTTATTGATATGCTAGCTGCACTTTTGTCAATTTGTTGTATGGTTTTGTTAGGTTTTGCTGATGACGTCCTAGATTTACGTTGGAGACACAAATTACTTTTACCCACTGTGGCTTCGTTACCACTTTTGATGGTGTATTTTGTGAATTTCAATTCAACATTAATTATCGTTCCAAAACCTCTAAGAGCGTGGTTTGGTTTTTCTGTAAACTTGTACATTCTTTACTATGTGTATATGGGAATGCTAGCTGTTTTTTGTACCAACGCCATAAACATACTTGCTGGCATAAACGGATTAGAAGTTGGACAGAGTTTAATAATATCTATAAGTATTATAATTTTCAATGCAATTGAATTGACTGGAGATATGTGGAAAGCACATATATTTTCCATGTATTTTTTGATTCCATACACGTCGACATCTCTGGCGCTTTTGAAATATAATTGGTGAGTACATACATTCATTTTATTTATTAATTGGTAGTATTAAGGGCGTTATTCAGAATTTTTGTTTTGTAAAAGTAAACCAATTTTTAATAGCTTATAAGTATGGAAATATTGAGTTTAGAAAAAAGTTGTCAAATAATAAAATTCAGGGGCGGGTCCAGAAAATATTTTCGGGTTGGGCGATTGTATTAATCTTATCCTCCCTCCCATAATTAATATGAAACACCTCACGAAATACCTACATTACTTATCAAAATCTCAGGTGGGACGATCGCCCCGACTTCTCCCAACGTAGATCCGCCACTGACCACTTGCACCAAAAATCAAAAATTCTTAAAATTCAACATTTTTCTTTTATTTAAAGGCAAATTACTTTAATATTTTTGGGCTCTTCAAAAATACTTTACTCGTCTTTTAAACTTCACCCTTTAGCAAAAATAATTACTTTGACCACTAGCACCAAAAAATCGAAAATTCTTAAAATTCAACATTTCTCTTTTATTTTAAAGCAAATTGTTTTAATATTTTTGGGCTCTTCAAAAATATATAGAAAAAAAACTACTTTGACCATAACAGAATTTTTTTTCAAAAGATTTTAATTTAAAATTTTGTAAAATTTCAATTTTAAATGAATTTAATTAGAAATATAAAAAACATAGATTTAAAAAAGATTTTAAAAACTAAAATTCTTCTGAAATTAGTTAAATTTTTTAATTTATATATATTTAATTGATTTTATTAAAAATAATGGATTTAAACAAGAATTTTAGTTAAAAACACTAAAACAAATTGAATTTTGAAGCAATTACAAATGATTGCAGAAATTCAATTATTTTCAAATATTTTCATAACATTCTTGGCAAAATTTTAATTATTTTCAAAAACTTTCCTCAATTCAATGATTTTTAATATCTATTACTTTAATAAAAATTCCTCAAAGAATTCAATTAGTTAACAAAAATTTTAATAAAATTCTACACAAACATTTAATTATTTTCATAAATAATAAAAATTTCACAGGAATTCAATTATTTACAAATTATTCTTTTATATTATTCAATTATTTTTAATACAATTTTAATGGAATCCCTCGAAAAAAGTTATTATTCTTAAAAATTTTATTAAAATTTATCAATGAAATTTAATTATTTTAATAACCTTTGTTACACTTTATTTATTAGAATTTAAGTATTATTTTCAATACATTTTTAATTGAATTTCTTTAAAGAATAAAATTATATTTTCAAAAATTTTAATAAAATTCTTTGCGTAACAATCCAATTTTTTTTAAAAATAATTTTAATAAAATTCTTCTCAGAAATCCAATTATGTTTAAAAATTTACCAAATTTTAACTATCTTTATGAATAATAAAATTTTTCTTCAAAATTCAAATATTTTCAAAACTTTTAATAAAATTCTTGTCAGAATTTCAATTATTTTGAAATATACAATTTTCATCAAATTTCTCGAAAAATGGAGACAATTATTCTTCAAAATTTTATTAAAATTTGTCAAAAGAATTCAATTATTTAAAAATTTGTTGATAAAATTCTTTATGAAAATTCAATTTTGAGAAACATTTAATTATTTAATAAATTATTTATTTTTATAGTTAAATAATTGAATTCTCATAGAATTTTCTAATAAATATTGATTAATAATTAATTTCAGTTAAAATCTTTGAAAATTTGAACTTTTCATATTACTTTATATTAAGAATTTTGCAGAATTAATTTTTTTCGAAAAGTTTAATGGAATTTTTTTTAATTATTTGAAGTTTTTAATTTCTAATATATTTAATTGAAGAATGTCAGAATAATCGAAATTTAGTAAAATTAAATTGTAAAAAGAAGGATTTGAAAATTCTCAAAGAACTTTTTCAAAAATTGTTAAAAAAAATTGTCTTAAAGAAGAATTTTATTTAAAATTCTAGAAATAAATAATCGTAATGATGAAAATAATTTTTGAAGAAGTTACAGTAATAAAGTAGCAAGTTTATTCTTTTATTTGAATTTCAAATTTTTGAATATCTTAATTTCTATAAAAAAAATAAAGATTAAATATTTATTTAAAAATGAAGTTATTGATGTTTTCGAATATTTTTTGTTTTAAAAACCTGGAAAAATTCCGTTTTTTAACCATGAAAACCTGGAAAAGTTAGGGAATTTGAAAAGAGCAAAAGCGTGGCAACCCTTGAAATGCAATTTTTTATACGTCCCTATAAAGTTTTTTTTAACTGTGAAAGCAACCATTCAATCTCAAAATGCTCACCTAGTAAAAATTATTTTTTTTTCTGCAAAGTATCCGTAAAACAGAAGTTTTTCTCACAGAAATTAAAATAATTGTCGAACCGGTTTCCTAGAAAGGGCCATTTAATTGGGACGCATGATTATTCCCCAAATGTCATTTTTCCGAAATGTCATTTTACCGAACTGCACTTTTGCGAATAGTCATTTTTGCGAAAAGCCAATTTTGCGAAATGTCACTTTTGCGAATGGACATTTTTACGAATTGTCAATTTTCCGAAAAGTCATTTTTGCGAAACGCCATTTTTACGATTTGACATTTTTGTGAATTGTCATTTTTGAAAAATGTCATTTTTGCGAATTGTCACTTTTGCGAATCGCCATTTTTACGAATTGTCAATTTTCCGAAAAGTCATTTTTGCGAATCGCCATTTTTACGAATTCTCAATTTTTTGAAAAGTCATTTTTGCGAAAATTCCTGTAGTAAACTTGTATACATATATAGATTCACTATAGGAATTTTCGCAAAAATGACATTTGGGGAATAATCATGCGCCCCGTTTCAATGCAATAAAAAATAAAATTTAATAGCAAAGTGCTTCATATTTTCCATATTTAATACAATTTTAATGATATAATTGCATAAAAAATTTTAAATATTAAAAAGTAATCAAGTTATAACTAAAATTTGTTTAATAAATTTAATGAGTCATTTTGAATAAATCGAACTACATACTTATTAAGCAAGATTTTTCTAATTTGTATTTTTTGTTCTATTAAATTTACTGATGTATTAAGCATATATGTTATCACTTATTATGGCAGTTGTTGATAAAAAAACCATAAATAAATCCAGTATTCCATAAATATTGCAAATTTTTAAATTTTCTTTCATAAGCCGGGTCCCTCGGACCCGGCTTGAGCTCTTACGTATGTTCGACTTAAAAGGTAATTTACCAGAGTAAAAAATAAAAAATAATAAAAAATTGTTTATACTGGTGAAAAATGTGTGTTTTTACGTCCCCAAGCCTAATGTGAAGTCGATTTTCCAATAATATTTTCTTAACCGGAAGTAGATCAAAAAAACTTTCCTCCGGGTCCGAGGGACTCGGCTCGAGCCCGTGAGGGTTAATTATGAAAACAATTTTAGTAATTATAAATTTTAATTATGTTTTTATCTATTTTTCACCTGGTGTAACATAAAGAGTAAAGAGTAAAAGGTAATAATAAATGACTGAATAAATTTCTAAATAATATATTATATAAATATAAATATGATAATCGAAGCACAATATAAAATTGATTTGTAAATAAATAATAAATGTGTAATATATAAAACGATTAGTGCACGTAAATGTATATATCACAGCCAATTAAAGTCGACGATTCCTCAATAATAATCCACTTTAACGTAAAAATTTTGAAGTAGCCAATCGTACTTTATGGAATTGTTAAGTACGATCTCAGGAGCGAAATAGATATCTTGAGATCTAGGAACCCTAAGAAGACTTGTCTTGCCATTTAGCCACATTCCCATTCCAATTAATTCTTCAATATAACTTATATCTATAATTGCCTCGGAATTAATGTTTCTAGGATTGGTTTTGCATTTAATAGAGAACATTATATTTTTTGGAACTTGACAATAGTGACAGTACCATCCGCCGTAGTGATTTAAATCTCCAATGACTAATCCTAATTCATCTCTTTCAATATTTTCGTCTACCAATTCCTTCTGAAGAAGTATATTATTATTTCGATAAGCTTCTTGCATGAAACCTATTGTAAAAGCTCCCTTTTTAATCGTTGTCTTTAAAGGATGTTGCCAAAAGAATCCAAACACCAACCATCTCAATCTAAATCCTATCGGTTGCGACCAACCGTCGTACGTTTTCAAGAACATTAACGCTTTCGAATTTAATATTTCTTCTGGGTCAGTCATGACAATTATGTCGTCATCTCGTATATTTTTGATAGTGTTATGAATTTTGTCCCAAATATATTTGAATATCAATTTAAATGGTTTCCTTGCTTTCGTAAATGTATTGATATATAAAATCTTCCTCTGTTGCGATTTCAATAAACCTTTAGCAAGAGAATAGTTGAAATTGAATTCTGAATTACTTGAATCACAGATAATGAAAAGATCGACTACACTGTATAGTTCTTGTACTATAATTTCAGATATTGCTGAATTGTATTGATTAATGCATAGTGTATAAATAATACGTCTCATCCATTTACGTTGTTTTAATTTCACCAATTGCTTTGATGCCATAATTGCTCGCCACACTACTTCAGGTTGACCACAATCAGATCCATGCCAGCCTTGATTGCACACACATTTTCTGGTACAATTTTTTCTCATTATTCGATCGTTAACTCCATCTTTCCAGCACGAGAAATCTGCGTAGTTCTCGAAAAATGCTGATGTTTTGGTATCTTTTAACGTAAATTCTCCATTTACTGTTTGGGTTCTCAGTTGCAGGTCATATTTTAATCGGTTTTTGTAAAGAGCCTGAAACAATTAGTATTATTTTTTTTTTCAATAAATGTAATGTTCCCTCTGCTTTAAAAAAATTATTTTCAAAAATTTGGGACCATCAATATTAAAATTAGGAAAATAATTCACATTATTGTGTTTATTCTTGAAATCCAATTTTACTTAAATATTTCAAAATTAATTGAATTTTAAAAGAGTTACGTTTATAATTTTCATAAGTAGATGTTTTAGTTAAAAACACTAAAAGAAATTGAATTTTGAAGCAATTAAAAATTATTGCAGAAATTCAATTATTTTCAAAAGTTAAAATTCTTCTCAAAAATTCAATTATTTTCAAAAATTTGAATAAAATTCTTGGTAAAATTTCAATTATTTTTAAAAATTTTCCTCAATTCAATGATTTTTAATATCTACTAGTTTAATAAAAATTCCCAAAAGAATTCAATTAGTCAAAAAATATTTTAATACAATTCTACGCAAACATTTCATTATTATTTTCATAAATAATAAAAATTTCTCAGAAATTCAAATATTTACAAACTAGCAAATGTTTCGTGCGCGGAACGTGGTGTTCAATTTATTATTGTTATGCAAATTAAAAAATTTGAAATATAAATTTTTATAACAATTTCTTAATTAAAATTTAAAAACTTCACTTATTAAGTACAAAATTATTACTGTTCATAATTTCAAAAATTTTAATAAAATTTTACGAAAAAATTCAATTATTTTCTAAAATTTTCATAAATCCTTCTAAACAATTCAATTATTTTTTTTAAATAGTAAAATCTTTTTAAAAATTCCATGATTTTCAAAACAATTTTAATTGAATTCCTCGGATGAATTCAAATATTTTTAAATATTTATACATAAATTTCAATTATTTCCTAAAATTTTAATAAATTCTTCGAAACAATTTTTATATAAATACTAAAATTCTTTGCAAGAATTAAATTATTTTTAATCAAATTTAAATAAAAATTTTAATAAAATTCTTGGCAGAATTTCAATTATTTTTAATAAAATTTCCATTACATTTTTCAAAAAATGAAATTATTCTTAAAAATTGTATTAAAATTTATTAAAGAAATTCAATTATTTCATAAACCTTTGCCTATATTTTCAATACATTTTTAATTAAATTTTTTCAAAGAATTAAATTATTTTTAAAAATTTGAATGAAATTCTTTGTACCAATTCAATTTCTTTGAAAATATTTTTAATAAAAATTTTGTTGAAATTCAATTATTTTCAATGTCTACTATTTTAATAAAATTTCACAAAAGAATTTAATTATTAAAAAAGAAATTTTAATAAAATTCGTCTCCAGAATTCAATTATTTTCAAAAGTAATATAATTCTTCGCAGAAATTCAATATTAGTGTTAAAAAATTTACAAAAATTTTTGTCAAAATTTCAATTATCTTTATAAATAATAAAATTTTTTGATACTCAAATTTTTCTCAAAAATTCAATAATTTTAATAAAATTCTTGGCAGAATTTCAATTACTTTTAATAAAATTTTCATTAAATTTCTGGATAAATGAAATTATTCTTAAAAATTTTATAAAAATTTATCAAGAAAATTCAATTATTTAAAATTTTGCTGATAAAATTCTTTATGAAAATTCAATTTTAAAATACATTCAATTATTAAATGATATATTTATCTTTATAGTTAAATAATTGAATTCTCGTAGAGTTTTCTAATAAATATTGATTTAAAAATGAATTTCAGTTAAAATTTTAGATTATAATTAAAAATTGAAAGCGTTATAGCGTGGATTTTTAGAAATAATTGAATTTTCAAAAGGTTTCAAATTAAAATCGTTGAAAATTTGAAGTTTTCATACTTTTAATTCAGAATTTTGCAGAATTAATTTTTTTCAAAAAGTTTAATGGAATTTTTTTTTAATTATTTAAAGTTTTTAATTTCTAATATATTTAATTGAAGAATGTCAATAATCGAAATTTCGTAAAATTAAGTTGTAAAAAAAAGATTTGAAAATTCTCAAAGAACTTTTTTAGAAATTGTTTTAAAAAAATTGACTTAAAGAAGAATTTTAGTTGAAAATTCTAGAAATGAATAATCAAAATAATGAAAATAAGTTTTGATTGAGTTACAGTAACAAAGTAGCAAGATTGAATTTAAAATTTTTGAAAATCTTAATTTCTATGAAAAAATAATAATGATTAAATATTTATTTAAATATAAAGTTCTTTAGAGTGAGGGAAAAAGTCAAAGTTTTGTCAGAGCAAAAAGGTGACAATCCTGATAATTTTTAAATATTAAAGACTTGAACTTAGTGTTAACAAATGTATTTGTTTAATGTCTAAAATATTATTCTCCTTTATTACTGGAATTTTAAAATTTTTAGGATCTTTTTTTTTAAATAAAATAAATTGAAATGAAATCTAAAAAATTAATATTAATCTAGAAAAATAAATTTGAATTTGAATTAATTATTACCTCTTCAGACTGGATATCTACGAAACTGACTGCTTCGTGTCTCGTTGCAGTCATTAATTTAGAAGATGGAGTAGTATTTATAACATATATAATGACAATCATAACTTGTAAAATTAATAATGTGAATAATAAAATAATTTTTCCATCTGTTCGAATATGCATGGCATAAGTTTGAATAATTCGACTAAATGTTTGAGTTTTGTATTTCAAAATAAACATTTCTGTTTGATATCTCTAACAGCAATGTGAAAAGTACTAAATGACTTTTAAATTATTTAAAAGTCAAGATCGTTTTATTTGAAATACATTTCTGGTGGAACAGTTTTCTGAAAAAATGAAAATATTATGCAATGTAATTTGAAATGTTTATTTGTACCATGTAATATTAAATTTTCTTTAAACGTAACTACAAAATATTTTTATCATTTTGTTTAATAATTTTAATATTAAAAAATTCTGTTATATAATTTTAATCAGGAACTGATTCAACTGTTAAATACAATGTTTGAATACAATTCTTTTATCTAAATAAACTATTTATAATTTATAGCAAGCACAACTTGTAAGTGCAAATTTAAAAAATTACCTTTAAATTTTTCCATTGTTCGAATTTTCAATAATCTTAGACAAGTAATATTTGTCAATCATGAATCCAAAATCTCTTAGCATTTCAGTTTAAGAACTTAAAGAATAATGGAACATTTCTCTTGTTTTTGAGTTATTTTTTTCTTTTTTTGTTCTGTATCTTATTATCCTTTTTGAGTAAACTTTGTATTTTAAAAAAACCACACCCGCAATGTTTTTTGATACCACATGACACTTACTTCCTCCCTTCGTTCAATTACAATTGTAGTTAGAAATGATCAATACGCAGACGCGCTTTCACCCTTGCAAGGCGCACACTAGATATATTTTTACGTGAATATAATACCTAAATACAGACTGATTAAAATAGCATTTTTACAATTTTTTATATTTAATCTTTTTATTCTGATATCATAAAAATTTAATTAAATTAATTAATAATATTAACAATAATCATAATAATTAATAATTTAATAATAATAAATACACGTTTTAATTTTAACAAAATTTTTTTTATTGAATTCATTTTTTAATATTTAAATATTTAAAGCTCCTGGCTTTATTAACCAATAATTTTTTCGCGCTCGTACCTTATCAATAATTCAATTTAAATAACTTTTTTATATTTTCAAACTTTAATAAAAATTTATCACTTTTTAAAAGAAAACCGAGGAACATGCATTTTCTGCAGAAGAAACATCTAATTAATGTAAAATTGGTGAATTAAAACAACAAAGAGTAAAAAGCTATCCATACACCCCGGTATCCCCTAATGGGTAGGGGTTGAAAAATATAACGATTATTAAAGCTTTCTTTTTCAGCAAAAATATCAATTTTTCCGACTTTATTGCTATTTTATAATTTTGTTACTTTTAAGGTACCCATCACAAGTATTTGTAGGTGATACATTTTGCTATTTATCTGGAATGACTTTTGCTGTTGTTGGAATAATAGGGCACTTCAGTAAAACGACACTGTTATTTTTCATTCCTCAAATACTGAATTTTGTATACAGCGTTCCACAACTTTTTCATCTGGTGCCTTGTCCGAGACACAGACTACCCAAGTAAATATTATTTCCTAATCATCTGTTTGATTACATTTTTTATTATAACTTTTTATTTGCCAAACATCAATATGCTTTTGTTATTTAATTTCGTAATTCTTCAAATGAAAAAGAAATGCTATTGAATCAATAGCACGTATACTCGGATACGTTCAGAAGCAAATATGAATAATATAAAGTGGTATTTATTAATTATACTGGAACTCCCAAGAGAGTCACTCATAGAGTCTTATGTGACTCTCTTGGAGAGTGACCTTGACGCTGCAAAAATTTATACATTAACGGACGTAGGGTGTATGAAAAGTATAAAGTGTTAACCAGAATTTATTTATATACATGGAAATTTTAAACAATTGAAGATTCTCATAAATATTCGGTTTAGGGATCGTCTATATATTACGTAACACTTTTTGGGGGGAGGGAGGGTCAAGCTATTTGTTACGATAAGCCAAAAAAAATGGTGCTAATGTATGTAACAGTGTGTTACATTTTCAAAAATTAGCGTTACATAATATATGGACGGCCCCTTAGTAAAATTTTTACTGTTTAAAAGTTCGAGTTAATTTAACATAGAAAACTTTTAAATCAGCTACATGAATATTATACCTAATATTCAAAAATATCTTTCAAACAATTTTTTTAAATATATTAATAAGCGCATGGAACACTTAAAATTAACGCTTCAGTTTTTGATACCGACCCCTGATGTCTCTATGCGTCGCCATACCGCAGATGGTAACTCTGGGGAGTTCCAGTATAAATAGCATTTTTTTTCAAAGTACTTCATGTCTAAAAGAATATATTTTTTGCAGAATTAATAAAGAAACTGATACTTTGGACCCAAGTAAAGTGGTTTTTAATAAATCTGAGCTCAATATAGTAGGTAAGTTATTACAACAATATTATCATTGAATATGTATATATTTATATATATATATATATATAATCTGATTATAATTTTCGATGATGAATTGAATTGAAAAGAAACGAATTCGTTTGAAATTAAAAAAAGAACTTTATAGCGAATCAGACGTTTTTCATTTTAAAAAATTTAAATCAGATTTGCAATCTGCAAGCTAAAAAAACTAGTAACGAATTTTAAATCATATATATCATTGAAAGTCTATTTTCTTAACAGATTTCTGAAAACTAATTTTAAAATTATTCTTTTTATGTACATTTCAACTTTTTTTGTTCACAGCAAAACTTATAATGAGAATTTACCGAATATTTCGTATAGTGGAATGGAAAGAAGACGGCGATACAGTTATCTGCAATAATTTAACTTTGATAAATTTTGTACTAATCTTAACTGGACCAAAGAATGAACGAACATTAACAACGATTTTGATAGTTATACAGGTAAAAACTTTACTCTTGTCTAATATCTAGATTAATCTAAACTGAAGCGAGCGATGTACGGAATTTTATTTAAAAATTTAATGAAAATGAGAATATATTTTATTCTAGTCGAATTGAAGAGGAGGCTATTTAGGGTACAATCAGAGTTAATTTAAACATTTGAAATTTCAATATGAAGACTTACTAGTAAAAGAAAATAAAGTTTAATATAGTGACTTAGAAATATTAAAATTTTGCTCCATTAAATCTGAAACAAATTCAACATCGACTACTACTTCTATTGGTGTTAATTGTGTTTCTTAAACGTGTTGTCCCAATTCAATACGATTATCTATAATGAGAAAAATAATCATTTTTTGGAAAAATTAAAAAATTATTCCGAGAAGTTCGTTTATTTCCCTTTACATTTGTACTTATCATTTTCAAAGACAGTGGGCTAAAAAAATGTACACATGATGTTTATGTGTTTTTTAGTCCTTTTAAACAAAAAAACCCAAAATCTTTAGGTTTTTTTTAATTAAAACTATATTTTTGATTGGAAATTGCTTCAGGCAAAATTTGGAATGACAAAATATCGCGTTCAAAATAAATGATATTTCATTTAGGCATTACAGTAGAACCCCGGTTATCCGAGCTCGCTTTATCCGTGGTCTCGATTAACTGAGGTTATTTTAATAAATTGCTCAAGTTATTATGGAATATAAATATAAAAGTCCCTTTCTCGTTTATAGTTAAGGCTTTTTTAAAAATAAAATGTTAAATTACATATTCTAAAATAAAAGTCCGTTTTATTCGAGGTAGGTCCGGTCCACATTAGCTCGGATAATCGAGGTTCTACTGTATTAGAAATTTTAATTTTTCGAAATTCAAAATGGCGGTCAAAATATCTAAAATTTTGAATAGTCAGAAAATCAAATTGCTGCCAATTCCGTTAAACGTCAAATGATATTTGAGTATAAATTTATTAAATATTTTGTTAATAATTTTTACTTAATAGTAGGTATATATCATAAGTCACTAAATATTTTAATTTCTGCTTGTGTTTTGATAGGTATGTACTTACAAAATATATAATATTTTGAATATTTTATAAAAGTTGCACTTATGACAGATCGAAAATAACTTCTTACATTGATTCGATAGCCATGGTCGTTAAACGTTTAGATAAATAGATAGGTCATGGGTACAGGGTTCGATTCCCATAAGGTACAAATTTTAATTTAATTCTTGAAGTCTAATTAGAATTTTTGACTGTCTGGAGAGTGTTAAGAATATAAAATAATAATAGTCATTAGAATGGATTTTTTACTATTTTCCTCAAAAATATTAGTTCAATTGTAATTACTGTCCGTTTGACAGTAATGTTCTTATTATTAAATTGGAACTTACGTGATAATAAACAACTCAAAGCAAGTAAGTTCCTGTCTCAAACCGGTTCTACTGGTCCTTTAATATAGGAAGCGCTTCCAAATTTTTTTCTTGTATGAAGTTATCAATAAATTATTATTATTATTATTATAGATTTTTTTCCAGTGTATACATCATTACTAAACTTTTGCAATATTTTAAAATTTTTCATTTCTACACTATTTATTTGTGTAAATTTACACGGTTTATTTGACATAAATAAAAAATATATTCTTAATTTAAAATTATTTATGTTTCAGATAATATGCAGTGTGCTGGCGTTTACAATAAGATATCCACTAGCTTCCTTGTTCTATGATGTATAAACAATAAAAAAATGTACAGACTGAATTTGTTTTGAAAATTTTTTTAAAACTTATTAGGAAAAACCTAAAAAGTAGGAAAAAAATCCATTTTTGTCCTACCTGCACGGAAAGTATGTCATTTCGGGCACTTAGAGCGGGCGCAAAGTAACTCATTCCCACTCAGGGGTAGGGGAAGCGGGCGCAAAATATTTTGCGCCCGCTCACCAACCTCCGAGCGGGCGGGAAAGTATTTAGCGCCCCCACGTTAATTATTCGATTTTCTTCATTAAAATGCGATATTTTCTACTTTCTTTTTATATTGACTATAAAAATGCAAACATTTTCAACTTGCTTTATTTTGTCTATAAAAATGTGCATTTTTTATCGATTTTCTCTAAAAATTGTCAATTTTAAACAATCTTGTTTCAGTTTTGTTTAATTATTAATTACTACGTTCTAAATAAATAAATCCTATATTTCCAGAATACATTTTTTTCTTATTTCTATATTAAAACTTGTATCATTATAGACTTCAAAGAGTTAACATTTATATAGAGTTTAATTTTTAACTAATATGAGCGTTTAATCGTTCGTGCCCTCAATGACATACTTTCCATGCAGTTAGGACAAAAAATTATGTTAGCATCATGGGCGCAAAAGTGATTACGACTCTGGCGAAATTTGGCAATCACCTATTTTGCGCCCTTGATACGAAAATAACTATTTTATGGTGACAATAATCCAATACTTTTACTTTCTTTGGTTAATAAGAAATATTTTTTACTTTACCAGGACTTTGTTATCGTAAATATTCTATTTGTTTTGTAATTAATTTTTTTTATTTTTTGATAAAAAAAATTCTTTCTGTTTAAAACGAAGATTAATAACAATAAAAATATTTCATTTTCTCTAAATATAATATAGATATGGTATGGAGTCAAAAGTTCCAATTCCGGAGGATCCAAATGACATTTTTTCCAAAGTATTATTTTTCCAAAGGCCATTTTTACCAAAGTATTATTTTTCCAATATTAGTCGTTTTTCCAAACATTTTTTTTTATTTTTCAAATTTCAAAGTGCAACTTCAAGTTAGGAAACTTTCAGTTATTATCCTTGTTATTTTCATAAATTGTCATTCGACGTGTGCTCATTTCAAAATTATGTTGTGAAATTAAAAATTTTATTCAAATTAAAAAATAGTAAACAGTGAAATTATATTCAATTGTAAATTAGTGAAATTAAAAATTTTATTTAAATTATAAAATAGTGAACAGTGAAATTAAATTAAATTGTAAATTTTAATTATGGCAGAATTAATACAAGTCGGAAAAAAATTATTTACATATCGAAGGATTTCTGTATTACAATCATTCAGATGGGAAAAATAATGTGAAATATTGGAGATGCCTTATTTTTTCAAACAACTCCAATACTTTTCACTTATTTAACAATTCAACACTTTTTATTTAAGAAATTTCATACTGTAGAAAAATAAATTTTGGATCTTTTCATTTTGGGAATTTTTTCTTGGAACTTTTCGATTGGAACTTTTGTTTTGGAACTTTTGTACCCCAATCATAGATATATTTTCTAAAACCAAAAAAACTTGATAATATATTTACTGATTCTTTATCAGCTATAAGACCATAAGTTCGAACTTATGGTAAAAATTAGAAAATTAAAAATGTCGAATCCTAAATGGTGGATGGGAATTGAAAAATGTGACTAAATTGAATAAGGATTGAATAAGGATTGCTTAAAAAATAGTAAGGAAATTATTAAAATTCTTGACATTTCCATTTGCTTAATAAAGTTTTAATTGTTTCTTAGAATCCAATTTTCCAAAAACTTACAAAATAATAATATTTTCAGTAACTAATAACAAATTATTTTACTCTAAAACTGTTATTAATAGAAATAAAAATGTATTTAATATAAATGTTTTAAGCTGTAGATAATATACTACTTTATTTCACAATCAAATATATTAAGTGTCATTTTTGAATATCAAAATATAGCAATAAAAATAAAAAAATTTCCAATTTAGTTGTTTCATCAAAAACTGGCATTTAAACATTAAAAAAAATATTTTTCACTTGTTTTTAAATTTACTTAATTTCAATTACGTAAAAAAACGAATAACCTCTTATGATGATTGAAAAAAATTATTTTTTTTTGAAAAAGCTCATCAGTGATGATTGTTTTGTTTGCTTTTTATTAACATTATTATCTTTGGACTTTTTAGGCGAAGGCGAACGGTCTTTTTTAACATCTTTTTTAACATCAACTTTTGTGGTAACATGAACTTTTTTCGTAACAAGAAAACCATCATCATCAACAAAACGAACGTCTTCCACTTTATGAATCGTTTGCTTACCGTCCCTGTCATTCGTTTCAGGTGAATTTACCGATTTTTTACGTTCCTCTGTGTTCTCAAAAGATATTGTGTTTTCTTTAACTTCTTCTTCAAAGTCATTCGAATCGGCTTCTTCCATTTCTTCTTCTTCTGACGAATCCGATTCGGCGATAATTCGCCTCCGTTTTTTAGTATTATTCGATTCTTTGACAACTTCTACTTTTCTTTTTCCATTCTTTTTAGGCATCTTCTGATTAGTCTTCTTTATTTTTTCTTTTTTGCAAGACTCCATTGATGATTCTTTTCTTTCAATTGATTTCTCTGTTTCCTCTTCTGTTTGACTATCGATATTCTCAGTAGTGGAAGTATTATTTTTTGGCGATTCTTCCTTTTCTTTTTGTAGAGCCAAATGTTTTGAATTTACATCAGCGACTTTAGCGAACATGCTTTTAAATCCTGCTTCACGACTTTGAACTGGCTTTTTCGATACTTTCTCAGAACTTTTTTTCGATTTTTCTTTTACTGTTAGTGATTTATTTACTTTCTCTTTCTTTTCGTCAATCATTGATGAATCTGGAGTTTTCGAAGCTTCTTTTTCTGGGGTTTTTACATGAGATTTCGCTTCCACGGAAACGACTTTTTGTGACTCAAAGGATTTTTTCGGCGGCTCCGTTGACTTTATTATTGACTGAGCATTTGAAGTTTTTTGGCTTAACCTTAAAGAACTTTCTTTACAAGTGATTGAAGAGAATTTAGTATAAGATGGTTGTGTTAGTGCCAACATTTGCAGATTCTTTAATGATTTTTGTATACTGTAAATATGTTCCGAATATATCTTTTGATATTTTTCTTTCCTTGAAGACAGATCTGATTCTTCAACAACTTCTATCCGATCAGAATTATCAGGTAGTTGGCCCATTATTACGAATGTTGCACTTATAAGAGAATTTTCTTTGTTACTGCACCAAAATTCCCATAATACTCGTTTAGATTCATTAACGTGAACATTCATTTGTTCACTGAATCTTGTATATGTCACCTAGAAAAAAAAGAAATTTAATGAATAGAGTTATTAAGTCTGTTATTATTCGAAAACATCAACAACTTCTTTTTTAAATAAATATTTAATCATTGTTATTTTTCCATAGGAGTTAAGATTTTCAAAAATTTCCAATTCAAATCTTTTGAAATTCAATATAACTTATAAGAATATTATTATAAAACATGAAGAAGTCGATCACTCCGAGTCTTCGACTCGGAGTAATCGATTTCTTCATGTTTTTATAATAATTAAAGATAACCCAGTTAAAAGTACTAAGTATTAGTATTAGTTAAAAGTACGAAAAATTCTGATTTTCAAAGATTTGAATTCGAAACCTTTTCAAAATTCAATTATTTCTAAATATTCCCCCCGAATGCTTTTAATATTTAATTATTATCTAAAATTTTAACTGAAATTATTTATTTTTAAATCAATTTATATTAGAAAATTCTACGAGAAAATATATAATAATTTAAAATATAAAATATTTAAATAAATTATTTATTTAAATACAAAAATAAATAATTTATTCAATAATTGAATGTTTCTTAGAATTTAATTTTTACAAAGAATTTTATTAACAACTTTTGAAAATAATTAATTTCTTTTAAGGAATTTAATTAAAACTTTACAGAAATTTATCATATTAAAGAATTTTATAACAATTTTTGAAAATAATTGAAAACTTTTTGAAGAATTTTATTAAAATGTTTAAAAATAATTGAATTTCTGAGAAGAATTTAAATAATAATTTATGAAAATAATTGAATTAATGCAAAGAATTTTGATTAAATTTCGTTTAAATAATTGAAATTTTGCCAAGAATATTATTAAAATTCCTTTAAATAATTGATTTTATGTGGAAAACTTTGTTGTTTATCAAGATAATTGAATTCTTTTGCAGAATTACTTAAAAATTTTTGAAAATAATTAATTTCCTGTGACGAATGAAAAGTTATTTATGAAAATCATTGAATTATTGCAATGAATTTTATTATTTTATTGAATAATAGAATGTTTCTTAAATTTGAATTTATTTAAATCTTAAATTTATTTAATTTATTTATTTATTTTAAATTTTATTACAAATATTGGAAATTCTGCGATGAAAATAATTGAATTCCTAAATAAAATTTTATGATTTATGAAAATAATTGAATGTTTACATAGAATTGTATCCAAATTTGTTTTTCATTCATTAAATTATATGAAAATAGTAAATATTGAAAATTATTGAATTTCGATAAACTTTTGAAAATATGTAATTAAAATTTTGCAAAGAATTATATTTAAATTTTTGAAAATAATTGAATTTTTGGCGAAAAATTTTGCTATTTATAAAGATAATTGAATTCTTGACGAGATATTCGTTCAAATTTTTAAAAATAATTAAATTTCTTCGAAGAATTTTATTACTTTTGAAAATAATTGAATTCTTGTAATGAATATTGTTATTTATGAAAATAATCGAATTTTGTAAAGAATTTTTTTAAAATTCCTAAAAATAATTGAATTTTTGTAAAGAATTTTGTTATTTATCAAGATAATTGCACTAATGCTTTTGAAATAATTAAATAATATCAAAAATTCCATTCTGGTCAGAATTAGAAAAAAAATTTGAAGGTTTTGTATTAGAATTCGTGGTAGTTTCATAGTTTATGAGGCAAACAAAAAAGAAAGAAAAAATCACGTGTGATATAATCGAATTAATTTTTTTATTTTAACCAGTTTCAATATAAAATATCAAAGACAAAAATTTAAAATTTAAATTGCTAAACAATCCTTAATTAAAAATGCTTAATTGTTCAACTTTTTTTGTAAAAGTACCAAACAAGAGGCTTTTGGCAATGGATTTTTTCTGGATGACTGAAATTTTTTCTTGAGTTTCTAAATTGCCTTCATATAGCTACTATACATTGTGGAGTGATTTTCTTAATTTTTTGTTATTTAATAAACTATGTTTGTCAGTGAAATTAAGAGTTCTATTTAAAAACATAAAAACTTAAATTATCTTTTATTTGGTGCATACATCAAAGTCAAGTTTAATTAAAACAAAAATTTCTATAAGTTGTCTCCTAAAAATAACTACAAATTCGTAAACAAAAACTTGCTAAAGCTCTTGTAGTTTCGGAGATCTATGTAATGTTGAGAATGTTGCAAAATTCATTTAATTTCCAACAAAATTTATGGAGCATATTATTTCCAATCTTTTAATCTTGAGGGAGAAAAACAAAAATACAAAATAAAAGAATTACTCGAATAAAACCTAATTTTAGCTTGAAAATATAGTCGAGAATGATCCAGTATCTTTAAAAGATATTAAAAATTGAAAATTTTTGAATAAATGAAATAATACAATTTAAAAAGCTTAAACACATTCGGTTATTTAGATATTCGGAAGTTTGTTTCTCCACTATTAATAAAAAGTATTGTGTTTTTACTGAATTTAATAATACGTATAATTTTCAAATAAATATATAACTATTGTTTAAACATAAATATAATAAACCGCTATATGCCAATCAGTGTAATAAATGTGTAAAGTTTTAAATGTAACTTACTATTTGATCATCGTCGAATATTAATTCCTTAAGTTTACTCTCAGCCATCTCTTTAATTTAAAATTTACTTCACGAAAGGTACATAAATTGTTTAAATATAATAACAGCAAACGTTTGAGAACAAGTATTTAATTCAATAACAAAAATTTGTTTAGTCGTAAATTGTTTTTGTTTTGAGGGTTAGAATGCAACATTCTTTAAGGCCTAAGCACAACGCGGGAAATGTAATAAAGGTGCGGTTACACCTCTTCAGGCGGGCACTCTCGCATTCATGGCCTAGTTACAAAACGCAACGCAAAACGGTAAGAGAAAGAAAAAGAAAACATATAATTTGAATTCTCTTACTCCTATTTGTTACCATGACAATCTGCAGGCAGGCAGACAGCCACCAGAGGTGTGAGCGGTGTGAGTGCGCCCTTACTAAATCAGTAGCTTTGCGCCTGTTTGCGCCGGTTAAATTCTTTCTGCTATAAATGTTTTGAATGTTTGATTGCATGTACAATATATGTAAATAAGGACATTTGTTAAAAGGTTAGACAATTTAAATGCAACTATTTAATTTTAAAAACAACATGATTTATTTGAGGAGTAAGTTTTCAAAACCTGATAAATCCAAATTTTGTCATTTCGAGAAATTTAAACAATTGACAATTCTCACATAACCATTAAAATTAACTTTAATGTAGAAAAATTGTAATAAATTATTCATTTTTCAATATTTTTTCTATTTAAAACGCTCTGTTTGTAATTAAAGTCTACTGCAATAAGGGAATTTAAAGGTTTTGGTAATTTTTTCTAATAAAAAAATCGGAGTGTATTTGGCCCGTCAGCGGACCAAATAAGTTACTTATATTATTTGGCCCGTCACCCCACTTCCATACATTTCAAGACGGGCCAAATAGAGAAAGTACATAGTTTATTTGTCCCGTCAGATAACAAATTGCCTATAATTAATGACATTAATGAATATTTTACAGGTAATGTATTTAAAAATTGAATCATACGTTTCAGTTTTAATATTTGCCCTTTGACCCGTTACTCACCAGGTATTATTATTTATGTCAATATATAAATCCTTAATTTAATATTTTATTAATAATTTGTAAAAATATTTTCCAGTAAATTTATCATTTTTTAAATGTTTGTATTGATAAATTATATTCAATAAATGAGTATTTATGCATGTATATAATATTCATTTTTAATTTTAATAAGAGTCAAAAAGAGAAAATGTTGTATAATTTAAAAATGACATATTATTTATTTTATTTTTCAAAAAATGAAAAAAGAAACGCACTGTGGTCATTGGTCATAACCTCAATACAATGACCACAGTGCGTTTCTTTTTTCATTTTTTGAAAAATATAATAAATAATATGTAATTTTTAAATTATACAACATTTCCTCTTTTTGAGGAAAATGTTGTTATTGTTGTACTTTTGTCAAAAAATTTTTATTATTTAAAAAAACCAAATGGACCTGAAGAGGACAGTATTCTGTCGAAACATGTCCTTATGATTTTAAGTTTATAACACCTGTGTAAATCCGTTAAAAGGCCTCGTAAAATTATTTGAACAGAATCATCTTTTGTTGCAAAATTATTACAGTTAAGTATTAATTTTTAATAATAACTGTTTGCAATTATCAACTATAAAAAATTTGACAATATTAAATATTATCAAAAAAAATGTTTAAAAATTAAAAAATAAATATTAATTTCTATATTTTTAACACATGAAACAAAACCAGTAAACGCTTTTAATGGATGTTCGAGAAAAAGCACATCTTTGGTGAAACCAATTCAAGCATGAATCACACCGTTATGAAGGATGCAACTCCAAATCACCCTGGCACGTAAAACAATTCCACTTATTATTTTTTTCTTTATCTCGTATAATTGTTCTACTGCAAGCCATGATTCTATACTTAAATATAATTTAATTAAGGACAAATTAACATCTTCATCGATGATTGCCTCATTTATACATTCTGGTCTTATCTCAATTTCAGATTCCAGAATCATTTATCCTTTCAAGGTTTTTTCGATAAGTGAACCATCGATGAAAAACCTTAAAATTTGACGAATTTTTGTGTCTAAATCTTTTTTATAAAAGGAGTTGGTTTTCCTTTTTTGCCTGTTTTTTTTGCTACCTTTTTCGGAAGGACCATAGGTGTTGTAGTTAACGAATTTTTTGGTCTTCCACGCATTTTTGGTTTTAATGGCATTATAATGTTTTCAATTAGATGCATATTGTTTTGTGGCGATTCATCTTGAAGTGGGGAAATAAAATTATCATCATTTTCCACAACATTACATTCCCCGTCGAATATTATTTGCATCCCAGATGCTAAGATTTTTTCTTCTGGTAAAATGTCTTCACTTGTCTTCTGCTGCGTTTTTTCGTTTATTTCCAATGCAATATTTTCTCCTTCCATGTTGTTTTTTGGAAAATTGTCTTCTTCAAATAATTGACCTCCAACACAAAAATCATTTTCAGTGTCGTTTTTATTCGAAGAATTAATTTCCTGTTGAATAATATTCGTTTCTAGTTCAGGAGTTAGATGAAGTTCTAACTTCAAAGATCACTCATTTTTCACAACTCAAAACTTTACGGATTTAAGTGCACTACAAGGTGAACAATAATCAAATGTGATAAACAAAAATTTTGTGTCTCTATAGGTACGCGCCTTCGATATTTGAAATTTTAACAGACGAATTGTTTTAATTCGTTTGACTCTTATTAAAATTAAAAATGAATATTATATACATGCATAAGTACTCATTTATTGAATATAATTTATCAATACAAAAAAATGATAAATTTACTGGAAAATATTTTTAAAAATTATTAATAAAATATTAAATTAATTAAGGATTTATATATTGACATAAATAATAATACCTGGTGAGTAACGGGTCAAAGCGCAAATATTAAAAATGAAACGTATTATTCAATTTTTAAATACATTACCTGTCAAATATTCATTAATGTCATTAATTATAGGTAATTTGTTATCTGACGGGACAAATAAACTACTTTCTTTATTTGGCCCATCTTTGAAATGTATGGAAGTGGGGTGACGGGCCAAATAATATAAGTAACTTATTTGGCCCGCTGACGTACCAAATAAACACTCCTTAAAAAAAATTAAAAATCATCAAGGTAAGGCCAAAATATTTTTTAAATTAAAAAATTCTTTGGTAATAAATTTTTTTTCTTAAATTGAACAGTGATAAATCGATTTCTAAGAATTTTAATATTTTAAATATGTGTTTATCTGGATTTTTTTGAAAAAAGGATTTATCAACATTTGAAAAATTGCTCAGTATATTTTCTTGTTAATAATCTCACAATACTTTGTTTTAACCTAATCTCAAAAATGTTTTTAAATAGATATGAGTTTCAACCAAACTAATATTAACAAATATTAAATATACAATTCATTTTTAATAAAAAGCTGATGTAAGTTTAACAATGTACACTGAAAAAAAAAATTCGACAGAATGTTCTTATAGGCAAAAATTGCCTGAGTAAAAAGCAAATTCTGTCGAATTTTTTTTCAGTGTAAATAAATCTTTTTGTTGTTACAGTTTTTGTAATTTAGTAATGATAAAGTTTAAGGGTACTTTTTGGTGCAGAATTAGTAAAAAACACTTTTTTTAACTCTTATTATAACAAACGTTTTGTAGTTATTGCAAAAATTCCTTTCGGATATTGTTTAATATTTCATGAACACTTTGCTTCCTCATGGAGATTTGTTTCAATTAATTTACTTTATTTTTATTACAATAAACACATCTGCTTTTATAAGAATATTTTTACTATAAATTTTGAATATGATATTTTCCAAAATTGTTGGTATTTAAAATAACAATAATTTCATAATTCATAATCGAATTAGGTTCAAAAATAGGTCAATCGAAGCGATTTTCAATGCTCTTTGTTTCTTAACAAAATTTTAAAAAATGTCTTATTTTTCAAAATTTTAGATTTTTAAAGTTTAATATCTCTGGCTAATATGGACGTAAAATGTTTAATGAGGGGTCAAAAGATGCGTCTAAAAAAACTCTACAAAATTAGAGAAAAACATTTATAGCTGTCCTAACATTTTTTTAAGTTATGGGCAAAAACGATTTTTTGCAAAATTAAAAATAAAAAAAAATATAGTTAAACTTTTTAAAGGAAGGGAATTTATCATTCGGTAATTAATACTAAAAGTGGTAGAAGTTAACAATCTCTCCGAATCATTTTTCACTTAAAGCTTCTATAAATTTCTTGTATTGACAGCACAGCTGTCCTAATACAAAAGCCTGCTTCTTCTGAAAAATATTTTCGAAATTAATTAATAATATCAAAATTATCAAAGAACTCAGAAAAAACGGTAGCATGAAAAGAATATTTATATTAAAAACGCGTTTTAAATATCTTTGCAAAATTGGACAAATAATTTTTTATAATTATTATATAATTTATATTATTATTATTATTATTATTATATAATTATATAATTTTTTTTTAATTTTAAAAAATGGGTATTACAATGTTTTCCTGAGTAAGCAACAAGAAAACTTTAATGCTTAAAGGTAAATTTTATTTTTCAACAGAAGATATGTGGCCTGATCCAACAGATACATCATTGAGAAAACCACGTCGGTTGAAAGGAACTCCTGCGAACAGATATTTTTCTAAAATTGTCCTTGGGACCCTTGTATTTGGATATCTCTATTCGTATTTGTTGAGGTAAGTCTTGTGTATTATTTAAGTAAATAATGAAAGCTACAGAAATATGAAAAAGTAAATTAATCTTTTTCACTTATGATAGCCAACAAATTATTGTATTGTTGTATATTGGAAATACATGAAACCATTAATATTTTTTGCTATCCCTTATAGAAAAAATCGATTAATTTTAATAAAAAACAATTAAAAACTTTCTCCATTGAATGAAAGATTATTTGACTAATTTCAGTTATTTATTTTTTTGTGATTTAATAAACATTAGTTCAATTGAATAAAATGGCTCTTAACATAATTTAATAAAAATTAATTCCCACACAGCACCGAACTTTTTTTTTTGTTTTTTTTGTTTTTGTTTTTTACTTGCAAACTTCGAAGAATTTACTTGCAAAGTTTAGTGATAATTGTGTAAAGATTTGAATGTCCCCCTTTAATAAATGTTTATCGTCAAACTTTCCTGAAAATTTAACTTGAAACTTTCCTGAACATTTAAAATACATTTATGCGAAAATTTTATTTAAATTTTCAGGAAAGTTTCACGCTAAGCATTTATTGAAGTGGAACATTTAAATCTTTACACAATTTTCACTGAACATTGCAAGTAAATACTAAGTAAAATCTAGTTATAAAACCAAGAGTTCGTACCGCTTTATTCTCACTCGCACTCTCACAAGTATTATATTACCAAACTTATACTGATGGTTAATTACTGTATGAAGTCTTGAAACTATATTTTTTAAGATTTAAAAATAGTTGAAATGGCTTCTTTTGAAGCTTCACCCATAACCATATACTCCGCTTCGGTGGTTATTCTTTTTGTAGCTGTAAAATATTCCATGATCTACCGTTACGGTTCGTACAATTCGTGGTCTTCTTCGTCGCGTTGGGTTTTGTAGATTATCTGTCAATATCGCTTCGTCTAGAGGAAGAGGGTGTTGATTAGTTGATTAGGGAATCCGAAAATATCATCCTTGTCATCGCTGTATTTTATCGGTTCCAAGTCTTCATCAGCTGGTGTATTTAATTGGTGTTTTTAATTTATTGATGACTGGTAATCAATTTTACTCAAACTTGTTACAAGATTAATTTTAATGTTTTTTATTAAGATTTTGTCGTTAGACTATTAACATTGCGAATTACTTATTTAAAATTTCGGATTCAAATATTTAAGGGTAAAAAAATCGAAAACCTATAAATTTAAATTTTTTTACTTAATGTATGTTATGCTTTTCAGGTCTACACTCTACAATAAAGATTTTCTTGTTCGGTTCATAAATTTACTAAGTTAAAAAACATTTTTTTGACCTTTCAGTAAAAAACCATCTACGCTACAAAAAATAGAAGCTAGAGAAGAAAGTTTAAATGCTAGTTCTGATACTGCTTTGGCTGAGTCAATTTTAAAAAATGCACCTCGTTTGAGAAAGCAAATGGAAGAGCAAAAAGGAACATCATTTTATTAATAAAAATATTTAATATGCTTTCAAAGAAATATAAAAAGAATTCTATAACAACATCTAACGATGAAATAAAACCAAATCCAAAGAAACGAAGAATTAAACAACCGGTAGATTTATAATTACTTTAACTATGTTTTATTAATAAGCAAAGTTAATCCTTTATGTACCAATCAAAATCCTTATTACATTCAACAGAAATCCAACTATGGCACTGAAATGGAACTTGCTCTTGCTATATCAAAATCTTTGCATGATGCTGAACAAGAAGAAAAATTTGAATTAGGTTTAATTTCACCATCAGAACTATTGTCAACAGTGTCATCAAAAATTGAAAAAAATTCTTCCAGCCATTGGTTCAATAAAAATAAAGCAACTAATGATGCAGTTGTCACAAAATTTAAAAGAAGTACAGTATAGTTTTAATATCTATAAATATATTTATATTTTAATATCTATACCTTCACATAATTATGATGTAAATATAAATTAATTGTGTAAAAAGATTAAATTTGTTAATTTTAACAATAAGTGTAGATACAGTTAATTCTCTTTCTCTGCTTTGTTTTGTTCCCTCACAGAAACTCATTTAAAGTATTTAATTAAATTTTTTTTGCTTCACAATATTCATAATTTTTTGCAGTACTTCTTTATTTAAATCCATGTCAAAGGATGCATTATACTTGTTTGTAACCTCCAGCAGTCCTGAAATATAAAAATGAAAATTTAATATCCTAAAAGTTCTTTGCCTGTTTTTCATTAAGATTAAAATTATTTCTAAAATGATAAACATTTTTTTAAAGTGTACAGGTAATTTTAAAGAATAGAAATATCTTATTGTTATTAATGTGTTAGAAATGTTAAACAATTACAACTGTCCAAGTCATATAAATATTTTAGACGTGAAATATTTGTAAAATCATGATGGTGATTTTTATTGAAATCGTAAAAGAATATTATAAAATTTATCAATTTTAAACAGTTCTATAATTATTTGTCTTTTAATTTAAAATATTAAAAAAATTTAACATCCTTTGAACCCACTTTAAATATAATTAATTAAATATTTTTCAGATGCATTAAAAATAAAAACAGCCTTACAAACCTCAACTATAGATATAAGAGACAGAGTTTTAACAACAAACATTTCGAAAATACTAATTCAAAATGACGGCTGTGAAAATGAAAATTGTTTAACAAAGAATTTAGATGCAATAAAGTTGGTAGGCAAAATTGCGTTTTAAGTGCAAATATAGAATTCAAAAAAATTTGTTATGAATAAATAATTATTTTAACTTGTATTGATTTTACATTTTTAGGTCAATGTACTCTGGAATCACACAACGTATTATAACGAGCGTACAGAAAACTTTTCTTTTGTAAGCAAAAATTTCTGAATAATTTTTTAATTAAAATTAGAAAATTAGAAAAATATAATATAAATTATTCTACATTAAGGGGTTATGCCTAGTCGTCAATTTTTTTCATTGGCTTAAAATATACTATAAGATCTCTAGATTAATAGTTAATAAAACGTCTTTGCATGAAAGCAACTTGGAAATGTTCTTAAAATTATTTTTTCTGTAGCAATTCTGAAGTGTAAAAACAGAAAATTTTAACTTCAAACGCGCCTTACTCGAAACCATGTTTTGTCAAAATTTCAATTATCTTTATAAATAATAAAATTCTTCTTCGAAATTCAATTATTTTCAAAAATTTTCCTCAATTCAACGATTTCTAATCTCTACTATTTTAATAAAATTTTCTAAATTGAATAAAATTCTACGTAAACGTTTAATTATTTTATTAAAATAATAAAAATTTCACAGGAATTCAATTATTTACAAATTTTTTATAAATTTCTTCATAAATATTTTTCTTAAATAATACAATTGTTACAGAGATTCAATTATTTTCGTAAATAATAAAATTAATTTTAGGAGTTCAATTATTTTCACAAATGAGGCTCGGGATCTTAAAAGGGCACTTTTACCATTTAAAATCAATGCTGTAAGTGCCCTTTTAAGATCTGGAGCCTCAAATAATAAAACTCATTGTACAGAATTTCAATTATTTTTAATACAATTTTCGTCAAAAGAATTCAATTATTTAAAAATTTATTGATAAAATTCTTTATGAAAATGCAATTTTAAGAAACAGGCAATTATTCAATAAATTGTTTTTTTGTATTTAAATAATTGAATTCTAGTAAAATTTTCTAATAAAAATTGATTTAAAAATAAATTTCAGTTAAAATTTTAGATAATAATTGAATATTAAAAGCATTAGAGCGTGAATTTTTAGAAATAATTGAATTTTCAAAAGGTTTCAAATTAAAATCTTTGAAAATATGAATGTTTCATATTTTTAACTAACAATTCTGTCGAATTCATTTTTTTGAGAAAGTTTATTTGTGAATTTTTTTAAGTTTTTACTTTTAGATATAGTATATTTAATTGAAAAATTTACGAATAATTGAAATTTTGTAAAAATTATTAAAAATAATGCATTTATAGAAGAATTTTAGTTAAAAACACGAACAAAAAAATTAATTTTGGAAAAGTTACAAATTATTGCAGAAGTTGAATTATTTTAAAGAGTAATTCAATTATTTTCACAAATAATAAAACTCATTGAAAAAATTTAATTATTTATTTTAATACAATTTTAATCGAATTTCTCGAAAAATGTAATTATTCTTTAAAATTTTATTAAAATTCGTCGAAAGAATTCAATTATTTAAAAATTTGTTTATAAAATTCTTAATGGGAATTGGATTTTAAGAAACATTTAATTTTTCAATAAATTATTTATTAATGTGTTTAAATAATTGAATTTTAGTAGGATTTTCTAATAAAAATTGATTGAAAAATGAATTTATGTTAAAATTTTAGATAATAATTTGAATATATTAAAAGCAGCATAGCTTGAATTTTGAGAAATAATTGAATTTTGAAATTAAATTTTTTGAAAAAGTTTACTTGAATTTTTTTTAAAATTATTTGAAGTTTTTATTTTCTAATGTTTATTTAAGTGAGGAATTTACGATTTAAAGAAGAATTTCAGTTAAAAATTCTTGAAAATAATATAATTGAAGTAAGTCCGTGATTGGTCCGTAATTTTTCATTTTTGGCCCGTAAAGTCCGTATTTTTAAATACTTTCACTGGTTCAAGTCCTGAGACAAAGAAATAAATTGTTTTCAAGTCATACAGTCCTTAGATAAGGTGGATTTTTATTTTTCTCGTAAAAATATCTCCAAAGTGACAACCAATAATCTTTTTAGTGACGAAAGTTGAAGGAATTTTGTTGTACGATAAAAAATATTTACTAAAGATAGTTGATAATTAATTAATAAACTTTTAATTGTTCCTGTCAGTTGATCCACCACTGGTACAACCTCCTAAAATGTTTAATATGCGGAATGTGACTAATGAAAAAATACAAAAACCGTTTAACATAATTACAAATTAAATGTATTCATATATTTATAAATTTTTCAGATAAACAAATTGATTTATCCAAAAAATAAATTACATGAAACATTATCAAAAGAAAATTCAACCAATAACATTTGTTTGAAGAAAAATCCACTTGAAAATGAAAGTGAAACAGAATTTGATGAAATTAATACAAAATTATGGGAGAAGGAAATAAATGATGATGGCAATTTAAAAATTTTAATGAATTTAATAAGCTTATGTCCAATAAATGAAGAAATTCATGATAATCTTAAAGGAATCGAGTTCATTCAAGAAGAAAGTCGAGAGTCCAATTCATTGGAGTTAGAATTAAATGAAAATCAACAAACAGATAATAATTTTAATACAGAAGATATTATAAATATTGAAGATGATACCGATAGGTCATCTAACGATTCAAATATTGACATTTGTGAGAAAAAAGATAATTTTATTAGAAATGATATTATTAACAGAGAAGAAAGTTCCGACAGTTCATCCATGGATTTCGATTTTTTTATTTGCGACAAAAAAAATAATTCGAGTTCACCCAGAGATTTAAAAAGCAAGGAGAACAGTAATTTTGATGTAGATGAAATTATAAATCTTGACGAAGACAACGATAATTCATCTTTCGACCTAGATAATGCGTTTTGTGATAAAAAATATAATATTGAAAAAAATAACATAACATCATTTACAGATTTTAATAATACGCACAATGTGGAAAAAACTAATTTAAACGAAGATAAAATTGAAAATCATTACGACAGTTCTTCCATGGATTTAGATATTTCGTATGGCGAGAAAGACAAGAATTTAAAAAAGAATGAAATTATAAATCTCGAAGCTAATTCTGACAGTTCATCAATGGAATTTGATCTTTCATTTTGTGAGAAAGGAAATAATTTAAATGAAAATAAAATTGTGAATCGTGACAGTTCATCTGATGATTTAAACATTGCGATTTGTGAGAAGACTGATAATTGTAGCGCAAATGAAATTGTAAATATTGAAGAAGATAGCAGTCGTTCTTCTTTCTGTTTTGATAATATGATTTTGGATAAAGAATATCAAGTTAATTTAAATAAAGATGAAGTTATAAATATTGAAAGCAATTGCGATAGTTCATCTATGGATTTAGATATTTCGTGTTGTGGGAAAGAAAATAATTTTATTAAAAATGAGATCAGGAATGTTGATAATGACATTTCGTTTGTGGAATATTTCAGCAAGAACAATGATTCTCAAGGTAATAATAATGTAGAAAATTTACACGTTTAAAAAAAACTTCAAATACTCAAATAAAATGTTATTATAAATTACATTTAAAACTGCAGTTTTATTAAAATTTGATTTTCTTTTTTTCTGACTTTTTCCCGAGAGGCGAACAGATTGTGAATTATGGAAGAGAGATAATTGTGTATGAAGAAAGGTTTATAATAATTTTTTCAAACGTTTTGAAAGTAATACATTTTTAAAAAGTATAGTAATAAGAATCAAAATTTTCATTTTGTTCAAATTTAATATTTAATTTCATTTTAGATTCCAATAAGGTTATTAAACAAAAATTAAAACCTTTAGTAACCCAGGAGTTGGAAGCAAACTTTAGTAAAAGCAGTGAAGAAAGAGATTGCAATAATTCCCAGTCAAATACGTCAAAAATAAATTCTACTAAATTAGCTAAGAAAACGTAAGTATACAAAAAAATAAAATATAAACCCCTACTATTTACTACCTACTTTTTAAAAAAGCTACTATTTCAGTTTTTTTTAGAATTTCCACTATTTTAAATTCGCTAATAATAGAAATAAAAAAACTATTCTTAAAAATTATAATGAAATTCTTTAAAACGATTTAATTATTTTAAATATCTAGTATTTTCATAAAATTTCGCAAAAGAATTCAATTATTTAAAAAAAATTTGATAAAATTCATCCAAAATTCAATTATTTTCATAAATAATAAAATTTCCACTAGCATTTAATTAATTTAGTTTTCTAAAAAGCTTTTTCAAAAAAATCAATTATTTTCACAAATAAAGTTTTCCACAAGAATTCAATTATTTTTGAAAATTTTAATAAAATTCTCTACAACTATTCAATTATTTTCCTAAATAATAAAATTCATGGCAGGATTTCAATTATTTTTAATACAATTTTACAAGAATTGCTCAAAAAATATAATTTTTCTTAAAAGTTTAATTTCAATTCCTCGAAAAAATATTTAAAAAATGTTTTGTTTTTAAATTCTTTGGAAGAATTCCATTATTTACAAAAATATTAGAATTTTTCACAGGAATTCAATTATTCTTTTAGATTTGATTAAAATTCTTCCTAAGAATTCAATTATTTACATAAATAATTCTTCGAAATAATTCAATTATGTCGATAAATAACAAAATTATTTCCGAAAATTCAATTATCTTCTTATGTAACAATATTCATCACAAGAATTCAATTATTTTTAAAAGTAATAAATTTCTTCTTGGAAATTCAATTATTTTAAAAAATTCTAATAAAATTGTTAGCAAGAATTCAATTATTTTCATAAATAATAAAATGCTTTTTAGGAATTCAATTATTTTCAAAAAAATTTATAAAATTTCTCACAAACATTCAATTATTGTTAAAAATTTTAATAGAATTCTTTGTAAAATTTAATTATTTTTAAAAACTTTTCGCAATTCAATGATTTTTAGTATCAACTATTTTTACAAAAGCTCTTCATGATTTTGAGATATTTATGAAAATGTGATGTTTACACACACACACACATACGGAATGACATTTTTTAAAAATTTCATTTTTGAACTCCTAAGGTCATATAACATAAAGATATGTCAAAAAATCGAACTCGAAAAATTTTGGTATTACAATACTTCCTCTATGAGGAAGTAATAAACAATAATTTTATTTCTAAAATTAAAAAGAAATGTTTGTAGTAACCGCGGTATATCATTGCTGGGATTATCATATTAACCCTAACCGTAGCATACTATAGATATAAAATGTGACTAAAAACTTATTTAAAAATAATTTATTCGAAAATTTTATTTCTTTGTTATTGTTATAGTTCATCTTCTGAAAAAAACAAACCAAAGAATAATTCTCAGAAGTGTGATGAAGTAAATAGAAGTGGTGTCAGTTTACAGAAAACAAAAACTATTAATAACTTCTTTCAAAATAATAATGAAATATTAACAAAAATTTTGAAATATCAACCTATAAGTTTAAATTGTTTGAAAGAACAATTAAGAAAAGAAAAAATTAAGTATAAAAAAGATGAACTATTAAAATATCTTGATGAACAAGTAAGTATGCATAATTGTTTTACAATGTTTAGAATAATGCTTTAAAATATCCTGCAATTGTTTATCTGATTTGAAAAAAGTTCGTATTAGTAATACTTAAAAGGGGTAAGGTTAATTCGATGAAAAAAATGCATATTATGTTTAAATGAAAGTTCCAATAATTTTCACAAACATTTTTATCACTCTACAAGTTTGAAACAAGAATTTAAAAATTAAAAGGATTCTTCCTTTTAATTCTCATTTTCATCACTAGCTGCACAATGTACTATTTTTAAAACCCTAACGCCTACAAAATCGACTTTTTTCATGAGGTTTTATAAACAATTAAATAATAAATAAACAAATTGAACCCAAAAGAAGTAAATCAATATATTTCAAAGAAAATGAAAAAATAATTCCAGATAATAGCTGATTTTTCGGAGGTGAAAGCGAAAATACTTTTAGGATACTTTAAAGCGAAAATTAAGAGGTAAAATGTATATAAGTTAATATTGGTTTTTTATTACAGGGAGTTACAGTTTGCATGGAGTCATAACGGGATAAAAAAATCGTAACTTAATTTTATTACTTTTCAAGAACTACCAAGTTTCTATTCAGAAATTAGAATAGAATTTGTAGTAAGTCGTGGTAATAAACTGAGAATATTTTTAAAGAAAGAAATAAATATTATTTAGAACAGAAATTAAAAAAATTCTTCTCTATTTATTTGTCTACACTCCCGTCTTAAGCCTTACAAACTTGGCTACACAAGTAGAATTTTTCCTTTACAATGTAAAATTCTACTTCTAAACTTAATACTATTAATGTAGTATAAGAATTTGTATTTTTCCGAAGTATTATTTAACAGAAATTCCATTTTAGCAATTTTCTATATTGAGACAAAATTCCTGAAGCAGCAACATTTCAAATTTACTGTATTCTATTGAAAACACGTAAAATGCAGATTTCATTATGAGTTTTATGATTTTTATTAAGTTCCAAGGATTTTTTAAAAAATTAAAATTTCTCTGTCCATGATCAACATTTTTTAAAAGTTTGCAGAATTCTATACGGTTTGTGAACAACTAGTGAAATCGGATAGTTGGTCCGATGAAGTCCGAAATTAATCAGTTAATTTTAACTAGTGAATCCGGAATCAGTCCAAAACAGTAAAAAATTAGTCCGGACAATTTAGTGAATGTTAATAAAAAAATAATTATACAAGTTACACATATTAATTATTATTACTTTATGGTACATTCAACATATTTTTCGATTTACCTATCACAATTTTATTTACATTAACTTAAAATTTCTTACGCTTGGGGATTTGAACCTATACCTATCTAACATTATATCGCACCGTAATCGAATACACTAACCACTATACCGCACGCTCGCATGGGAGTTCAAATTCATAATAGAATTTATAAAGTGCCACGAAAAGAAATGCCAAGAAACTAACACATAATCAGTGTTAATTTTAATATTGAAACAAGATAACTAATAATACTAGTAAATTTGTAAAAACAAATTGACTGCAGAATTAAATATTTTATTTAAAATAAGGTGGATTTCACGTCAGTTCAACACACTAATTTTCACGACTTGTTGGGATTTGGCTGTGCTTTAGTAAATCTATTACTTTTATAGTGATAAACAACTCCACCAAATATTTTTTCAAAATTTTGAAAATTACCAAAAATATATGGCATTTTCAAAATTTGAGTCTTTCTTTTAAAGTGCTATAACTTTGGTTCTAATTAACCGATTTTGGATTTTGAAAAAAGGATTTCTTGGGTTTTAAGTATATTTTAAGTTAAAATTAATATAAAAAAAATTCAAAAATTTTTTTTGAAATTTTGTAAAATTAAAAATTTGTTTTTGAAAAAACATCATCTTCGATTTTTTTCAAAATTTTACTAAATGTTAGGGCAAATGTGCTATATATGTCCTGTAAGTTTCATCTTGAGATCTCAAAGGGATTCGGAGTAAAAAAATAAAACGTAACCACAAATTACGAACATATGGGGCAAAATTCCTCAACTGCCCAGGTAAAAAAATGAATTTTCTCTAAACTTTGCTAAAATGTTACTATTATTAGTAGAAGTGTAAATATTAATTTTTTTTGAATTTGATAAAATATTTTTTGAGTTATGGAGTTTCAAAATTTTGATTTTTTTTGAAAATATCTTTTTTTCGATTTAATATATTTATAAGTAAAATTAATCAAATTTAAAGTATGAATAGTGATTTTTAAAGGAGTTTTCACGGGCTATAAGCTGGTGATGAAAAAAAAGTTGTTTTCTGTCAATTTGACCTTGAAAATTAAAATTTATTTTTAATATTGATTTTTTTTGGTCAAAAAAAAATTTTTTTTTAAATTGCTTATTTCCAATCGAAAGAGCATGAAAAAACCTTTCGAAACTGTACTCGGCCAAATTTTTATGTTTAATTGTTTAAGAGTAAAAAATTATCAAAATAAGCATTGTACCGAAAATAAGCATTAAATAAGCATTGTACTGTCGCTCCTATACTTTCACCGCTAGGTGGCGAAAGTGACTTCTCTCGCTTTTGAGACGACTCTGGAAGTATATAAAAGCTGAGAACCTGTAGCAGAGAGGACGTGTTTCAAATGATCGTTTTTTTACTTTTTTGATGACTTGTAACACTAATACTATTTATTATTTAATTTTTTATTAAATAATTTTTAATCCTTTGAAAATTTCTTCATTGGATCTTTAATAAAATACTATGTGATATCTCATATTAAATCCTAGGTGAAATCTTGCATGAAATCCTATGTCAATTCCCATATAAAATCCTAGGTGAAATCCCTTGTAAAATTCCAAGTGGATTCCCATGTAGGGATATTCAATAAGGCGGATAATGTTTTTCACATGGGATTTGGTTTAGGATTTGACATGGGAAAATCATTATAAATAAATGATACTGTTTTTCACTTGGGGATTGACTTGGGAAAATAATTATAAATAAATGATACTGTTTTTCACATGGGATTCGGTTTAGGATTTGACTGGGAAAAACATGTGGGATTTGATATGGTTTTATGCATAGATGAACTGTTCAAATTCCCCATGTCTATTCCTAACTAAAATCCTGTCTCAATTTCCCATATGGTTTGACATGGGAAACCACATGGTAAACCACGTGGTTTCCTTCATGGAAGTAGGGTTTTACATGGTTTTTGACATAGGATCCCATGTGGTTTCCCATGTGGTTTCCCATATGGGGATTTTCAATAGGGTACATATTGATTTCGGATTATTTCGTATTTATTTAAGATGAGTTTTTTGACGGACATAATTTCGGATTGTTGCGGATTAATTACGGACTGAATTCGTAGAAATTCAGGATTACTCCGGATTGTTTTCGAATTCAAGTTTTCGTTCGGATTAATATCAGACTAACGACATTTCGGCGCCGCAAAACCGAACAAAACTCAATTTGAATCGAATTTTGCACAGCTCTATTCTATACCAATTGGAAATTTGAGAAAAAAATTTTTAATTCAGATTTTATAGCGTCAAATGTAAAAATGTGGCTTATTTACCACTCTACTCGATTATTATTTATAGATTTTTTTGTTATTGCGGCGTTTAATCATGGACATTTATTAGAAAAGCGTTGCGTGTTTGCACCTGATTGCTTTCAATATTAATCATACGATTCTTATATTTCTTTTACATTTATATTTGTATATCAAATGAATTCAATATTGGAGTAAAGAAATTTAATATTGAGACTTACCCTACTTTTTTATTTTTTTCATCATTTTTATTGAAAGCTGAGTTTTTTCCAATAAATTATGTAATAATAAATAATAAATAAATAAACTATGTAATAATAAATATTATTTTTCAATTTTTTCAACAACCTCCCCTTTTTCGCATATTTGTAATTATTTTTATTGAAAAGGTACAATTTCTAATTTCTAATTTTTTACTTTTTTTAAAATTTGTGTCACTAAAAGCTACTTTCTCTATTTCTTGAAAATTTGCACTACTTTAAATCCGCTAATAATTAGTTAATCTTTAACGTCCGAGATTTTTAATAAATCAAGGTAAATAAAACGAAAACATTAGGTAAAAAATGTCATTCTGTATGTGTGTGTGTGTAAACATCACATTTTCATAAATATCTCGAAATCTTGAAGAGCTTTTGGGATGAATTTTTTTTTAAATTGTAGATCTCACCTGCGGACATAAAGTGAGAGTACTTTGTGATATATTAATAAAGTTAAACTAAATTTTTTTTTTATTTTTAATTTTGCAAAAAAACGTTTTTTGCCCATAACTTTAAAAAAATGTTAGAACACCTATAAATGTTTTTCCATAATTTTGTAGAGTTTTTTTAGACGCATCTTTTGAGTCCTTATTAAACATTTTTTGTCCATATTAACCGGAGATTTTAAACTTTTAAAAATCTAAAAGTTTGGAAAATAAGACTTTTTTAAAAATTTGGTTGAAAAATGTAGAAATACCTTTAAAAGTATCATTATCAACTTGTAGAGCATTAAGAAATGCTTCGATTGACCTATTCTTGAACCTAATTGGATAATAAATTTCGAAAATATTGGTATTTTAAAAACCAAAAATTGTGGAAAATGACATTTTCTCAACTTTTTTGTTTGAAAATTTTTGTTTAACTATTAAACTATTATAACTATCATGTAGGGTATTTAAAAATACATTGATTGACCCAAAATTCAATCACTTTTACCATATTTATAAAAAGTTATTCATAAATTTCTATTATTTTTATCTTTATGAGGATAAGTAAAGTGTTCATGAAATGAGCACCAAAATTATAAAAAAGCATACAACTTGGCAGCGGTTTTTTTATTCAATTATTTCAGGAAGAATTCAATTGTTATAATTGTAGTAAATTTTTTTCAAAAATGTAATTATTTTTAACACAATTTTAATAAAATTTCACGAAAGAATTCAATTACTTTCTAAAATTTTAATAAATTCTTCGAAACAATTTAATTATTTTTATAAGTATAGTAAAACTCACTGCAAGAAGTAAATTAATTTTTAGAAATAATAAAATTCTTCTCAAGAATTTAATTATTTTAAATTCAATTTTAATAAACTTCAATAATCAAATATTGAATTAAATTATTAACAGAGACATGATTATTTCAGGAAAGTGAAAAAAATTCTTTGTTTAGGGTCAGCCCTACTAAAAATAAAATCACAAAACGACAGAAATTTAGTCAGAATCTCTGATGATTTTCGGTTTCATTTGCTACGATTGCAGCCACAGAACGTCAGGCTTGAGTCATGTTTAATCAGAAAGCTTCAAAAGTAGTCAGGTTTTTTATACAAAGTCGACACTCTTTTTTACCTGGAAAAAGGTCAACTGACCGTCATAAAATTGAAGGGAAATCTTTTTATTTGTTTATATCTAACAATGTCCCGTGTAGAAATTGCCATGTTATGGCCTACACAATGATCAAAAGATCCCCAGTAAAAAAAAACTAATTCAAATGAATTGAAACGAATTAACATTTTTGGTAGGCTCCAATTCGTATTTGTCACAAAGCGGGATTCACGAAAGCTCTTTGTATATTCAATTGAATTTAATTCAATATGTACCAATTTGTCCAAACGAATTCGCATTCGAAAGAAATGGCCAAGGAATGCATTGAATTCGTGCTAACGAATTGAAAAAAATTAAAGGCTC